CGCGGCTTCATGATATGGTCGTGTTAGACCACAACAATCTGTCCGGTCTGTTTTTTCTATTTCCATGTTTTATTTGCCCACTCCCGTTTTGTGTTTCTGTGGTGCATCTCAAGAGCAGCGGGTACTGCGATCCGCAGTTGAAATCGACTTCATGCCCACCTACGAGAAAGCTCCTGTTCTGCCTTGAGCGTATGTTAACGTAAATATGTTGATTCACTCTTCACTCGTAGTTCCTATTTTCTTCATGAGCGTACAGTCCTTCTCCATCTCGGTCTATATTAGCGGCGACATTTCTCGGAACACCTATAAATATACATACTAGCATGAAGATACGGGGAAGACCTCTTTAACAGCACCAACGTGCCTTGCTTCTCGACGACTCACACCTTTTCTTTCCTGTCCCTACATTAACTTAATGCTCGTACATGAATAAAATAATGGCTACGATATGCGCTACAATGACCCAGGGGTCAGCCGCCCCCCGCCGCTGCTATAGTCGTTGCCTGGCTAATGGCGGTAGAGGCGTCGTCATAGCTGAAATGAGTTGCGGAGGCGGTTGTGGAATGCCCAAGACTTGAGGCAAACGACCACCAAGAAGCGAAAAAGGCAAGGCGAGTTTAAGAATCCGCTTAGTAAGAATTGCGCAAGCAGGAGAAGAAACAGGCCAAGGAAGATAACAAGTATCTACAAGCATGGGCCACTAGATTTAGGTACCCCGGCCAGGATGGGCTCCGCTTGGCCTGCTTGTTGGCAGGCTCCCTTTCATTCTCTGCACTAGACCTGCAGAAAGGAGTGAAAATGACGGCGTTCAGTTCGCTTTCGTCGAAGAGCAACGTCCGGTCATAGGCGTCTGGGTCGGTTAGTAGCCCAGGATGTTTTCCGTATGCTGCAAACACTACAACTGTGTTGTAGAGTTGGATGCTTCTGCACGGATAACGAGAGGAAACTTAACACAGTAGCGCTTCAAAAGAAGCCCCTTTGTCGTCTGCTAGCAGAGAGTGTGAAAGAGAGAGAGAACTTACCAGGAGGTTAATCCAATTGTGCTGAGTGCATTCAGCCACGCACTCACAGACACACTGGTAGACACACATACGTGCCCGTACCATTCACCTTCATACTCACAGCCACAGCTCAAGCACATACATTCTAATACTCGGTGGCCCAGATGCACACCGATGGCTTGTGGCTGGCATTGGCTGAGGGCAGCCGCGGCAGGGCCAAGCGGCCAATGCCAGATAACATCTTATCACCCTAGATCGATTTTGTTCTCTGCGGTCTCTCTCCCTGCGAACCCCCCAGATCTTTCCCAAGCGGCAACCCTCTTCTACGGCCTCCCCCACACAGAACAAAGTGCTCTGACAAACCCTAGACCATATTTAGGACGAATACTAACGCTCCCTCCGTCGTTTGAGATCGTCCTCGGCGCGATACAGTCTTCAGAATGCGGCTATCTACCTGCTTTGGCTGATCGCAATCTTGTCTACTTTGGGTGGCCTATATTCGCTGATCCTTCGATATTCGCTAAGTCTACACATATACAGATGTCGATAGAAACATAGCCAGCCCCTCATCTACCGAAACTAGCGGACGACTATCACCTTGATAGAATTGCAATCTCACGATGGACGGCAGGATAGGTCTGATCATTTGGCCGGTTACCCGCCCATTCGTTTGCTCGCTAGAAATGACTATAAGACCCCGCAGAAAGCACTTATTGCGTTTGTCAGTTATTTACGAGGGTGAAGCTATATCTGGAACGCTATTTTTTTCTCAAGTAATCATACAATAACATATGATGATTTTCGAAGCAGTACGTTTTCAAGTTTTTTTTTTTCGTGCGGGACGTTAACATTGAGAATGAGGTCATGACCCCCTCCAGCTGCGTATTTCGAAAGGCATTAGACATATCAAAAAGTGCCAGTTATTTTTTCGAATGTTTTTTTTTTTTTTTTATATATTTGTTCACTAGTTCAGTTTGTTCAATCTAGTTTAACCTTTTCTGCGCATTTTGAAAATTTACCTTGGTCCTCTGGTGTCAGTGGTTACAAAGGGACTATAATTAGACAAGCTCAGATGCAAACGTAAGTGTTTACAACAAGCATCATTAGTGGTATAAACGGTGTACGTATTTGCACCTTAAGCTAGTTACTAAATAGTATATATAGTTTACGACATGAAGACGTTCCACCAGGACAATTGAGCCCTTCCATCTACTTGCCGTTTAAAAGTAGCAACTTCTTCTCTCCCATTTAGTGAATGGAGCCATTTCGTTCAAACGAAGTCTTGCTAGGCGGGCTTTAAGAAGGGACCTGCTGACTGCTGAAAAGTGCTTGTAGTCGTCGGCTTGTCTTTTACCCCAAGACATCTTTACAACCTCGTGAAAGTCTCTTAAGCGTCGATTGTGTGAGGGAAGCGCTAACGGCAGCCGCGCTTCTGGTAGTATTGCGACTACTGATACTCGTAGGCAGATATACAGGAACAGCCTCGGGAGTAGGCTACGGTCAGCCAGTCGATTGTAGCTGACTGTATTCAGTCAACGCAGCAACCCCCGTTCCGGCCAACACAGGAGCTGCAAAAATGAGCATGCCATAAAGCTGTCGTTGATACACGGTTTTTGCTACCTTCCTTTATTCCTTGCCTACTCTTCTGCATCATAGAAAGAGCAGCGAAGAACGCAAAAACGCCCAATTGGAGCAATCGTGCGAGGTTCGATAACAACCGTAGCAAAGTATCGCGCACACTTACTACGCTCTTGCTTGGAAGAAAGGGATAGTGGAAGGAGCGAGCCCTTCAGTACCAGAAGATCTTAACGATGATTACTATAGTAGTAGTTGACAGCCGACAACGTGAGAATAGATTAAGCTTTTCAACCCTCAGTACAACTTGTCGGATTCGTTGCCTCCCTTGTTTCGATCAGCGCTTCAGCGTAGCCTGGCATGCATGGCAAACGTCGCCCTAGCCCGTGCCGGTTCCTTTCAACATAAGAGAGTACTCATAGAGGGAACAAGTGTTTTTGTCATAACTACATGTTTCTATATAGGATGACTCACTTTCGGCGGAAGCGTCTGTGTACATTCTACAAAGATATCAAATGCCTATAATTTTGCTGGGATTTGCACCTCCGTACAAGCTGTTGCTGTCTTGTATCGCCAGTATCTTCACCTTTGAAGAATACACAGAAAACGTATCAATGCGTCTCGTAGTTGGCCGGGTCCTCGTTATCGTTGAAGGGTATCTCCTTTTCCATATCCACCTTCATGCATTTCGTGTATATACGATGCGTGCACTCGACGACGCCCTGTTATCTAGGATTTTCGACGAAGGCATATGGACAGGATTAGGGCAGGTGTTCAAGCCATGCGAGCATCGGCATATAAATACACACTCGCGTACTTAGCTTCCGCTGGTGTTGTTCGTCGCGCCTAACAAAAAGTTCCCTCAAATTGAATTTCAGAGGAGAGTGCAGGTATCTTGTTTAGAGGCGATGAGTTTCAAGAGGTAGGGACGGGCGGAAGGTGGGTTCAATAGTGAGTTTAGCGTTACTTGCTTGTTAACAATTCACAAAGAATAAGATAATACACGACTTGCCTAGATGTCTAAGCAGCTAAAGCAATCGAGGCAATATCAGCAGCCACTAGGGAGTAAGTTAATCGCTGTTTGCTTTGTACATGCGCCAAACCGTTTGCGATGTTGCGTGTATGTAGTTGTCTTCGGCCTTGCCCTGCCGCACGTAGTGGCCAGTAGACAGGCTATTTGTCGATGACCAGTTGAGGATCAATGGTTTCTTATCGACACGCGCACGCCGTGAAGAAAAACGGCATACGCACTGCTACCGCCGCCGTTGAATGTAGTGCTTGGTCGCCGGTCAGGTTCTGATCATCGGCTCTTCAGTTTGCTCGAATAGCACCTATTCATGATAGAATGTACACAATGAATGGAGAATAACGGGAAATGTTTGCCGGCTTCTCGGTGGTCTTTTGAGGACGCGCCTTAAAGCAAATAATGAAGAACGCCCTCCTAGTAAAGAGCGGGTGCGATCAAATCTGCCGTTCCTTTCTTTTTTCTTTCGGTGCCCGCCATGACAAAAAGGCCTTCGTGCGCCTGTCCTTCAAATAGCTGAGTAGTAAACCAATACCGGTAACGGCTATTTGAGCACTTGACCACGATTCTGTATCCTTTGTTAGGAATGTGGACAAGGCAATAGTGAACGATCGTCATGAATTGTAAAGTCAAGCTTGTGGCACACCCAAACTCGTCGCAGAAGGTGCAGACGATACCTTAAGAAAATCACGCGGGAAAAACCAGGGCTCGAGAAAAATGAGATTGCTAGCAGAATGAGTTCGACCAGTCTATGAGCTGAAGCTTCGACGCTCCAAGCAACTTTTGCAGCTGACCGGCCCCTCTGAGAAGCGGTGCCTTGTCGGAAAGGTTGAGCACGAGTGGAAGAGGTCGCTAGACTCATCTCATGGCAACACAGTGATCCGCCCTGCTGCTATGCTTATCGACATTGCGACCTTTCCGATTCTCTCACCCCATGTTATCATTCACAACCCTGCCACATCGTGCGACTGATAATTAAATCTGTGTATATATTATGTGTGTTGGGCTGCACGCTTCTTCTTAGGGGGATACTCCAGATCGCCACCGAGTGTGTTGTTTTGGGGGGTAAACGTTAAGGGTGTAGAGGGGTTAGAAGGGTACTTATTTCGTACATATATAGCAACTAAGCAAAATGAAAAAACATAGATCGGCTCACATTATTTGTCACCATATTTCTGAAAGTAGGACGAAAATAGTGAAGCTAGGGATAAGCTGTAAGATATAGACGGAAAACATATTTTTATGTTGATCTAATTGGAAGCAATTCGTGACTGTTCACAGAACGTAAATAGCTCAAATTTAACTCAAATTCTCTCCTGGTAGCTGCGGCGATTGAAATTTCCTTTTTTGTTAGATCATATTTGCTCAACTTTCAATTCTTCTCGTCCTTTCCTCTTTAGAATTGTGCGCAACAAGGCGGCGGAGAAGGCCAAAGCGGCGCATTCGCACTCGCACGTGTCTTCTCCGGCGCCCTTGTCGCCGCCTCAGCAGACGCCATCACTTGACGCGTCGCGGCCCTCGTACTCTATCAACGGTATCCTCGGCATCGACGGCAAACGTAAACGTCAACAACAGAATATTTCCGGCCCCGACCAAACCGACGTTAACTGTAAGTAGTTTGTAATAGAACATCTAATGCTCGGAGAAGTAACCTTGCCGCTTATCTTGATTAGCCTACCACTTTTCTGTAATACTACTATTTTTGTAAAAAAAAAATCTGAATCTTCCTGACTAGACAGTTAGTTTATCGTCGCCATCATCGCTTTTGGCTATTCGCAATGAATATGTGTGCACATCATGGCGTAGCTCGGAGTGACGGTGTAGTCCTTCTTTAACCGGTGCCAGTATTGACCCACCGATTCCTGTCTCGAGCGTATCGCCAAACAAGGACTGATTAACCAGCAACGTAAAGGCAGTACAGCAGACCTTGCTGCCTTCACACGCGGTGCGCCACCCGCTAGCATCTGTCATGACATCAGGGTACTACTAGCGTTGGCCTTATTGCCCACTCCCTGCCTGTGGCATCAACTATCTTTTATGAACTCATTGCTGACCTCTCCTGATTCATAAATAAGCGCTATAGGGTCAGCTACGTCTCTCTCAATCGCTCTCGGGCCCCGTTTCTTCCCACAGCCATTGAGCCCCCCGTACGCTCGGCCTGTTTCACTGACTCAAGCTCAGTCGAAGTCTGGTCACCACACGGTCAGACGACGGCGGAGGCGGTGGTCACGAAAGCAGCATCAACCGCGGCCCGACAGATTAATGTTGTTCTTATGGTAAATTTTGATATTCGAGCAACGTCTGCCAGTGGCCACGGCCGAAGTGGCGGTTGATGCACATGCAGACACACACATGCGCTTAGCTCTCGTTCGGCATAGGACATATCGGTTTGCTGAAGCTTTTTGGCCGGTAGTGTCAAGCCAAGTGAAAAAAGAAGCCCCCGTCTTCTCTGCTTCTATCAGGCCATCATCAGCCAAGGCAAGCCATTGCCTGTTCTGTTCGGAGCCGCTTCTGCAAGCAAGCCAATAAGCCAGCTCAGAATGACTACTCCTTTCAAATTATGCTGTGTATATATATATATACATGGTTACGTACGATGGCCTATTTGGTAGAGTCAGCGGTACGGAACCGCCGGGGGCTTTTGGATTTGCTTTTGCAAATTAATATTGCGAAGGAAACAAGCCACACTAGCCTGAGAGCTCTGGGAAGCTAGGAGCTAGAGTCAGCCGATAGACACCTCAGATAGTTCCCGTAACCCTGCTATAGCTAGCGCGTAGTTGTCTTTTCGGCTCACATTTTATATATCGCAACATATCACAATCGTCACGTTAGTTGTTGATCTTCAGTTCTCCGAGTAGTTGATTCAGCGAAATAAAATATACCTCGTTTTTTAGTTGGCTAGCTTGAAGTTCTCGATGCGACTTCCACCATATAAGCCCCGATTTGGCTGCTGACTATGTGTGATGGATGGGGATCTTTGCATCATGAATATGTGATTTATACTTTGGTAGTTTGTATGCGTCACAGCAAGGGACCCGAAATGCTCCTCGACTTTGCCGGTCCGAACCGACAGATAGGGACATTAAGGCTGAAAGAACTTGCATTTTGCCCCAAAGGAACGGCGATGAACCGCTCCTTCTGACCAATCGGAGGCCGAATGAAACTGAGCTGGTGAGGAGTAGACATTATTATGCCACACCCTAATGCCTTCTTTTTTCTATGAAATTTTAAATTAATACAACTTAGTATAGGATATATATATATATATATGTTTTAATGAAAACATAACCTTGAGTATCTAAAAATCCATCCATTCACTGCATGTGCATTGTACCTGTCGCAACCAATTTATTCACGCATCCAGATTGGGTCACGTTTTAGTTGAGCGGGCCTATATAATAAACTGATATAGGACCTAGCGTTGTACAACTCTTCTCGAAGATGCAGTTGAATGCCGTGCAAGAAGTACGAAATAGCTAAATACAACTGTTGGTGAATTTAGGTAACGAATAATTGAATAGACTGTTGTAAAGCGTACCTGGCAAGATAACGTACGTTCCGATTTTTCACTGGATGCAAATACGCGACGCTTTTTAGCCACCATTGTGCGCACTTATTGATTTATAATATGCGGATAAGGAAATGTAATAGAGCCGCAACAACACCCAAGCAGGGCAGAGTGTTGACGTTTATGGCCGCCGGCGCCTCAGGGAGTTAAATATATTTTTGTAATTATTTATTTATTTTTTTTTTTTGTTCTGTTCTTTCTTGTCCCACTGTTACAAATGTTGCATTTTCGATTATTTTCCATACAGCCAAACAAAATGTGGTTACCTCGACAACGTAGGCCCCGAACTGAGACCAAACTAATAGGCTCGTAGTTAAAATGGTGCGGCGAATCAACCGGATCTCGTCCGCAGGCAAAAATAGGCCGAGATTGACAACTCACGACAACGTCCGCCTGACGTCGGCGACTCTCTTTTCTCGAAAGAAATACTAATTCGAAATTAGTTTCGTCACCAGCTCAGGGCGTAGCAGCAGTCAGCTGGAGATTAATTGCTCACGCGCCATTTGCAAGTTCGTCTGTATACTATGCATATGTACATACGGCTGTAATACGACTGAAACGCACGAAGACCATTATCGTCTTGGCGATTTTACCTACTTGAACCGCCTTGGCGCTACTATGAACGCTGCGATCATCATTGTTGTGATACCCGCCCCGCTATTACGATAATAGAATTATTATCATAAAAATTTTTAAGACTATTTATTTTTTCATCAGTTTATTTATCACTACAGCCATGTACGTAAGTGACGTTGCAGGAACTAACGCGCGCGAGAAAGGCCAAGCAGGGGAATTCCGTTTACCGGCAGACGGGACGATGCCTTCTAGATTGCTCACGATTGTCATTACTACTACGCGTGCATTCAGCTTCTTTATGAAGTAATATTGCGGTCGCACGCTGGCCGACAAATAATCTAACTGGAACGCAGACTCATTCAATTTTCGTTGTGTTTCGTGACGAAATCCAATCACCTCTACATTAGGGAAGTTAGTTAGCTTTAAGAAGAAGCCTGGACGACCAGGTTATCAATATGGAAAAGAATACCTACTGTTTTCGTTTATTTCAATTGATATGCTGCCTGATACGGTTTCTGAGGCCGTGCTATCGTTCGGAAACCCTGTGTGTGCTTCAGCTAGTGAAAAATGTTACAATTACTACCCCACTCTGGTGCGAAAAGCGATCGGGTGCCGATAGAAAATACTATTAAGTTTACCCTAGCGAATAGCTAAGACTGTAATGAAGGAGACTTTGGAAGAAGTCAGACAAAAACACGACCTAGCTTAGTAGAACAATGAGGCCTTTGTGGGGGGCCATTCCTATTACTGCGTAGGCCTTTCGATACGTTTCCTTTGGTCTTCTTACACATGTGAGCCTCCGTACATGTGTAAGAACATAGAAACCACATCGTACCTCCAAATTCACATATAACGGAAAAACTCGTCGGAGATACAAAGCACGCTCTGATGGGGAAAAATAGACTGTTTGAAGCATCCTTACGCTCCTTTATCAATTCCAATAGAATTCTCTGCGTATCTATCCAAACAAACCAAAACGTGGTGATAAAATTGACAAAACGAGTCTAATTAGTAATAATTTTGTGTTTAATTAAACTTATGGCTCGATATCGACTGTCTGTACTGTAATTTCTGTACACAGTATGCAATAGAACTATATGTTAACTAAATGGGACAATTAGAAGTGAAAGCCTAAAACATGGCGTTTGTGTCCGAGACGTCTCAAGAGTTAAGAATTCGCCCCCGACATTAAGCATAATAAGCAGTAATAATGATAGCCAAATACAGTGGCTTGTTTTGGCTGTTGTTTGCTTAGACTAAGGAGAAAGTTTCGGGGTGGATCAACAGAGGCCACACTATAACAGAAGCATCGAGATCGATTTGTTTGCCTTAGGGATTAAGGTGCGCCATTCGCCGCTGGATGAAGCGGTCCACCAATCTTTATGGCTATCGAAAGTGGAGGCCGCGACCGCAGTCAAAACACCAATGCTACATGACTTACGCCCTTAAGAAACGGCATTATGAATACCGTGCATTGAGAGAGGAAATCGAAATCGAACTCGCAACGTCTAGCCTACGCTCACATAAGTAGTAACACTGACATGTGTACAAGCTCACAGAAGCTGAAAACGTTTGACGGCAATATTTCATTTTATGGCCGCGCGCACCAATTCCTTGACGGTTTTTTTCCATTTTCTTTGCGTCTTCGCAGAGTGACAAGCCATAGTTACGTATTGGATCATGTAATAGCTCTTCTGATGATGTAAACGAAGCCTTTCCAGCGCCTCGTACAGTTTATGAATGCGATCGTTTGCCAAAGCTTACAGACGATCTTTAAGTGAGTTTGGATACTCAACAAGCTCATCTTTCTCGTTTCGTCCATAAAAAGGGCAAACATATGCCCTCCTTTAATAAGCTCGAACGCGAGAAGACATCATAGAAAGACATTGACAGAATACGAGAGTGCTTGCTGTAAGTGAAGCGGGAAGCGGCGGTCGAGGCTGGGAACTGGGAATAAGGGCGAAGGAAAAGGGAACAGGGTAAGAAACCCAACTTCGTTGAAGCTCCGACTAAAACGAATAGTGGGTGCAAGCATCGAACGACCAGCACTGACTGCACAGCGTTGAGATGTGCCCCTCTCACATGGCCCCCCAATTGGATGGCTTGCTGGCCGGCTGGCCGGCCGGCTGGCGCAGTCCGATAAGCCTGTCAGGGCGGTAGAAGCATACGCTCGCTCTCCGCCACGAGTCGACTTGTCGGACGCAGAGTGGGGGAGTGGGAAAAAGGTTGCCACCAGGGGAGGCAAACTAGACGTTCTAGCGGCACTACGGTATGAGATGTGGATAGGTAAATGCAAGGGGACGGGCATGGGTCTAGGAATTCTTGTCGGAGTTCAGGAGGCGAGGAGAGAACAAACCGGGAGTATTGCAGCACGTGCTGCACAGCCGGGCGCCTAGCGCAGAAGCAGTGGAAGCAGAAGCGCCAGCGGCGACCCGCAAGTTTTGTTTTTGCACTACCGCTGCGGCTGCCGCTGCCAGCATCACTACCAACGCTACACTCATGCGCATAACCTCCGTTCTTTGTCTGCATTCTCTATATGTTTCCCCCTGGCAATTCTTCGGCATGTAGAATGCTGCAGCCCTATGCAATGGAATCATATAGCATCTCACCGCCGCGAGTTGTGACGTGTGAGAAGCAATGTTTATAGTGACTTCGCTGTTTGTGCTGTTCGTACGTATCCTCATATTCACTGACTTCGGAGTGGGTGTTGGCTCAGCTCAGGCTAAGTGCAGGCTTTGCAGTTCTTTGCCGAGACTGGCTCCGACAGGACGGCGGCCTGACCGGGCGACAGTGGCAGAAAGTAGGAATCTGCGGGAGTGCCTCTCCAGAGTCCACCGACAGCACACCGGACTGCTGGCCGTTGTTGCCAATTGATAGCGGAGGCAATCCCCAGAGGTCATAACAATGGAAGGATCGCAAGTGTTAGGGGTCATCTTGCCGGTCTCCTCCGCGACCCGCAAACAACTTCAGACAGCGACTTCTTCTCTGGGCCGTGAGACCGCGAACTGATTCTCGCCCTTCTGCCAGTAAATAGCGCAAAACAGAGAGAAAAAGACACAGGGTGCTCATGGCACGCGGTCACCTTTGCACCTATTATTTGGCTCCTATTATCATGGGTTTACTAACGTCACTCAGCCACTCATCCAATCGATTATTTCATCATAAGGGTTAGCTATTATAGAAAGAAGGTTGTTACTCGCCAGTGATATCTATTGTGCGCTCATCCTGCAGTGGGTGCAGTGATAGTACAACGCAGTTAAACGAATAATCAAAATACTGTTTGGGATTGATATTGCCGTGCCTGTTATCGCTATACTGTATATTCCTTTTACCGGCATAACCCTTACCAAAAACATGAGTTGACGGTTTAGATGGCAGGGTTTTATTAATAAAACTTGTTGTATGTAAGGGCTAGCAGTCCACAGAACGTATGCCCAGCTAAGCATTGGGAACATAGGATAAGGTAGAGCTCGCTACACGTCTAAGTGGGAATAAGAATTATAGCAACGTACATCGGGAGACAAGTCAGAGTCATGGAATGAGTTGTTATCTGCAGGTTTTTTCAACTGCAGTGCTAGCTTTTCTGCCAACGGCTTTGGTGATGCCATAGTCGGCGACGAGTGACGGCAACTGAGTGAAGAAAAACGAAAGGAAGGAGCTCTATACAAAGTAACCCTGGCGAAAGCGGAGATGAAAAAAGGCGCTAGTACATGCATTGAGTTTGCCTAGCTGCACACAGAGCGCCTGAGTTATGATGACCACGAGGACTACGACGGTATCAACGTTCGAGGTCGCTGACTGCCGCTATCTAGACCATTCTTTCTCTCTCACACGAGGTCGGGTGAAGAAGGGCGAGGGTGAAAAGGCACTTTTTGTCGTTCCTGTTAAGTTGACCGCACCCGCTGCCGAGGCATCATCAGCGATTTGGTTGTCGCTGTCAATCATCTCGTCACAATTCGGCCATTGTGATCGCGACATTTCCCCAAACATTGCATATGACTGCTTACTCTATTTGATTGTTCAACCGAGACAAAGAAACAGCGAACCAGTACATCGATCGCGGATTATAGCAAGATCTCGTCTGCGAGTTGATCGCCGCTCCGGCTAAGTTGCCAATGGAGTGCCTGCTACCGGTAGGATCGTCTCAGCATCGATTCGGCACGAGCTGTGCCGATCACCATTAGTGGCCGGCGTCTCAGCGGTTCGCTTTCGGCGTGTATAATAGAAATAAAGTTATCTCCTTCCTTCAACGCGAGCCGTCTATTGCATTTAGCTAGCCATACTTGCACCGGACAGCATGTGAATAGATCAAACTGCAGCACAAAAGGGCCCATATGGAGCCAGCTAATGCGTTTAATAGCGAAGCCTATGTTAGTTGAGTGCATTTCTGGTCAGTTGCGTTCATTACCCCGGCTCCGTCTTGTAGCGAACTGGTCCTGTCTAGTGTGATGATTCTTCCTGAAATCCTGCTGATCCACACGACACATCATAGCGTGTCGGGGTCGAATTCGATTGTATTAGGCCATGCCTGTTATAGGCACAGGATTGTCTTCTGTGGCTGGCTTTAGCTAGTGAGCGATTCCTATTGATTTAATCATCGCCTCAGCAGTCAATCAACATCGACGAAGAGATGCAGGGAGACGAATCAGGTTAGATAAACTAGTTATACTTGGTAGGTAACCATTGTAACGTGTTACATGCACTTTAGCGTTATCGCCACTATCAACACGATGATTACTTCCATCCTATACCTGTGCAAGAAACCCAAAAATGGGAGCGGCGAAATAGCGCAAGGCCGAGCTCGAGATGCTACAGCTCCTCCAGCCGCAATATCAACAATAACAGGTTATTTCGTTGGGCAAGAAGCGTACTAGGCGGGACGTGTAGGCCAAATGCGCGAGCACGAAGGAAAGAGAAATGATCTTCTTCGACGGGTAAGAAAGCAATGCATACGTTTTCCTGCCCGGCCCCCCTGAATTTCATCTCAGGAAGCATCATAAGGACGAGCCTCTGTGTAACCCCTCGTCCTATCTGGTGTCTGTGCTGTGTCTGTCGTGTTTGGGTTAAGGCGTAATTCAGGTGGAGGGAGCTGATTTGACCTGAACTTGTCTGTTTGCATATTGTGCGCGTTGCCGCTGCTTAGGTGCAATCCTGTCAAAAATCGCCCTTTTAGCAAGCAGCTGCAGTATCTCGAGCTGTCCAATGTAGAAAAACGAGGCCATACGAGATAGATGGACGACGGATGGTTGTACTTTTTCTTGCATATCGGTTCGGGAAGAGAAAGTGATGAACAACGTTAATGGGGCTGTTGACTGGTCAGTTTAGAACAACCGAACACAGACGCCAGCTATGATTAGATTCACGCTGAAAGTGATGATCGATCGTGTGAGAACGGTACGTCAACGGGACGTCTGGTGTGTGTTACTTATGTTGTATTTCTTGTTGTTGTTATTACGTGATTCTATTTACAGCGAACGGTGAGGTGCGGAGTGATCTCGAGGATGATGTTAAGCGGCCGAGGACGACACAGTACAACGACCAATATCCTAGCCTCAGTCCCAACGTGAGTAGACACACACAGAGGCTTTTCAGGCTGATTATCGATTTCTTATGAAAACTTTTTCGGATATTATCGGTGTGTCAAAAAGTACAAGGAGATTATCGTCGTCAGGTGATAAATTCTGGCTGACCTGCCCTGTTTTCTCTAGCGACGTGTTTGTTTTCAATTTTCCTTTTTTTTTGGCTTCGGTAGCAGATGTGGCAAAAGTGGTCAACAAAAACAGAAGATATGAAACCTTCGGCAACGGCGATGGTCAATGATATTCCCTCGGGTGGGTCGGGATCCCCATATGCTCTGCAACAATTCACGGCCGATCAGGCGTTCAGCCCGTCAACGACCTCTGCAGCACCCGCGGAGCCTAAGCCCGATGTTGACGCTCAGACTCCTTTCGAGGCGCTTAGCGCTCCGGGTCAACAACAAGCCAGTCAACCGCAGACACAGGCTACAACTGTATACACGCCTCCCATAGGTAGGTACTCGAACAGAAGGATTACGAGAGACTGAGAATCTAGTGCATGCAAACAATACAATTGAATAACCGTCAGACAGGAGTGTTTGTCTATCGATATCGTGTTAATAATCGCACAGCATTTAACAAAACTTTCAGTTGTTAGAGCTGCTTCGTCCATAGAAGTGCACCGATATTTCTCAAACCTTCACTGTTGTCTTTTCAAAAATCGCGTAAGCAAAAATGAGTCACCCGTGAAACAATCGAGAGAACGATTGTACGCTATGTGTGCGTGTGCGATACCAAATCTCCGCTTTACGAAGTGGTCTTTTCTTAGTATGAAGTATTAGGCACGTGTTCAGTCCCGCCAATGTACGAGAATCTGTACGTGCCGTAAACGGGTTACATATTGAGAAGCATATACACTTCTATATATTTTATCACTAATGTTGTAATGATAGAGTTCGTTCACGAGCTGCCGTTGTCTACCATGTCGATCATTATGACTGAACTGTGGATGATTGTGATATTATCTTACAAACGAAAATAACAAAAAGAAAAAGGAATGGGAGAACAACAACAACAAACGTAGGACTGCTTGATGAACGAGAAGATGACGACGAAGAAGCCCATTATCGCGGTACCTAGCCGTTTGACTGGAGATGGACGCGAACGGAACAAGCCACGCTCATCTCATTCTAAAGCAACGTTAACAGCAGACGGAAGCAAACCCATTCGTCTAACAGGGTTTCCTGGTGCTCTATGACAATATGCGGCCGTTCTTTCAACCAACATAACACGATCGCCTACATGAATTTTCCCAACGATCAAAAGTCACCCTTACTGTCTCTTCATGTTACTATTTGAGTAACGAGTATCTTTTCAACCAACGCCGTCTGCCTCCATTTTCCAATGGTGCTCTCTATAGTTAGGGCTCACTTGTCGGCTCACGTTAGGAGCCTATACAGCCACCATATTGTAACTAGTGTCATACATGAACAGACTCTACAGATTAGCGTCTTTATGGCTGTCGCTTTTATTCAAATAGCATGTTTCTAAGTATGTTTGCAGAAGCGATTTTCTGAAGATAGCAGTAGCATTGGGCCAGACACGCACCCGCTAACGAGCATTCCCAACACTGCTATATTTTCGATTACTGCGAAAACTTAAATGCCTCGTTACTGCTACTAGGGCTTTTGTTTGTTACTCTTCGTCGACTTTGGTCTTCACCACTACTAGAACGTTTGTAGTGACGACAAAAGTGTTTCGTGCGCTATTCCGACATGAAATTTGTACTTCCAAAGTCTGCCTTGATCAATGCAGATTGTTTCCGGCTTGTACAACGTAATCACAATTTGAATATCAACATACACCCGCTCCGAGGCTGTTGTCACACTTGCGTTAGTGATGAAAATGAAGGGCGAATTACCGGTAAGGGAATGTTACTGGCAATGATGGTGCCCTAACGCCGGGACTTACATTAACTGGAGGTAAAATGGCCCCCAATAGAAGAACAGGAAAAAAGTGGCTGATCGTAAACTGTTTCTTAAGCTGTAAGATTTTTAAGGGTGGGTCGATCGGTTGGTCGTTTAAGCTTGCGCTTTTGCTGTCTTTCCGCCTCTTCTTAGCCGCTTAGGTTTCGTTCGGTGGGTGACGGGAAATGTGTGTTCGCTTGTGTGTGTGTGTGTCTCTCTGTGCGTGCGCGCGTCTCGAAGAGTACCGAGATGAGTAGAAACCGACCAGCGAAACAGCAAAGATGGGGCAACTAAGAAGCACTTTCTTGTCGACGGAGTCCCTGGGGCACGAGACAAGAAAGCAGAGGGGCAAAGAAAAAGCAGCTCTGTGCCCATGCGGCTGAGAAAAAGCAAGCAGGCCGGCAGGACTTGAATGCTTGCCCTTCTTGCTTGACTCTCGAGCTTTCGGCCGTTGTCGTCGGTCTATTGCGGGAGCCGACCAATCTCAACTTATCCCCAGCCTTCCGACCTTCCTTGGCCAGCCACTGGGAAGGGTCTCCACGCGTCTAACGGAGGCCATAGTCAACCGGAGGCCAACCGCTGCCACAGGGATCCATTCCACGACTACCACAGCCACGATCGCCGCGGCTACAACCCATCGAGGAGCCACAAACGGCGCCCCACGGTGGCGATCACAGTGTTGGCGGTCTGTCGCACTTCACGCCCTCTACATCACCCACCGTCACCCCATGGATGCTTCTCCTCTAACGTTTTCTTTCTTTTGCTTCATGCTTTATATCGCCATCTTCGTCACTACCACGCCCTAACACCTCAATACCCCACCAACAGCAGCTGAAATCAATGGCAACATACCCCACGCTGGCAGCCTCAATATGCTGCTATCACGATGGCCCCACAATAGCGTTATATCCTATCAAACTTATATATCCAATTGACAGCAAGACACAGACGCAATAACCGAGACACCAACTTACTTAGTTGTTCGTATATATTATTGTTAATATCAGCCAGCCTAGCAGCGGTACCGCTATACACTATTCTTGAATTTACGATTCATGTTTACCCTTCAGTGTTGGTGCATTGGAAACTACCCACATTTCTGTTATCGTCTTCATTGTTGTGCAAGAAAAAACACAATGGTTATATTTTTGTGGTGCTTCCGTGCAGCGTTGGTTTGTGCAAGTGACCGCATGCCGTCACTTGCGGTTGCAGCTGCTGTGGACCCCGACATTGACATCAGTAGCGGCGACATGAAATAAAAAGAAAAGCTTACCGCATTGATACGACGTGGATTGGGGTGTCAACGTATCGCTATGCGGTCTTGTTGCTACCGTCAGTGCTGCGTACTGTCGATTCCCCGAGCGCAAAAACAACGAAGCATTGTATATTCTCTTATGATTATTGCTGTTTCTTACTCAGTATAGAAGTGCATAGGTCGATAGCGATAAAAAGCTAACTGAAAACGTAAGGTGACCTTCAGCTGCTGCTGATACCGGCTTTATTATTAACTGCATGGTAAAAAGTAAAACGGACGGAAAGGAAACATCTGTGGGCTGTTCCGAACCGGCAGGCAATGAATCATTGACAATTCAAGTGGTCCAAAACTAGAGAAACTGAACATCACAGCGAAGATATAGGGCTAACGAAGGCGTAAACAACAGACACGGAGGCACTGAGCGTGACTCTTTCGTTTGACAAAAGCGGTTGTTTCTACAATTGCCGTTTGACTTTGAGAAGAAGCATTTGAGCAGAGACCCTTTGATCTACTGGCATACGATGGACGACGGATTGTCTAACCAACTAACTAACCGTTGAGTTTTGGGAAAATGCCTGGATATAGGAAAAATTGGAAAAATAACAACAAGTCTGTAGCAGGCATTGCTGCCGAGTCGTAGTCAAAAAATAACAATAATGCGGTAAGCACACTTTCCACTTTTGTTGCATCGTGATATAATTAAAAAGAGGATACAACTTTAGGTCCGACTAGCGCTGGCTTTGGTCTACTTAGCTCAAAGCAGTTAGCTGTGATCACGAGTTCCCTACGTGTACTTACACGTCTAAGACGTGTATTAGGCTGAATTGGAAGTTTGCGGCTAACTCAAGCCTCAGCTCCTGAACCCCTTCAGAGGCCTGCCACTTTTCTCCCGCCTTCAGTGTTGTCTCGAGTGATTCTGCCGTCCTCAAAGGCACTCCTAATACAAGCACCAACACTAATACAACTACTAGTGAACTCTGGCATCTCCGCGACTAGCTTGCCCGCCGTAGGCCAACGGTTGGTAGGGGCAATAGCTCTGGGGTTGCTCCAAGCAGCAGCATGGTGTTGATGAAAGGCATCGCTCGTTAGCCTGGGAAGCGAGGTTAGGCGAGCTGATCTGAGCCAACCGGCGTTGAGGCAAACTCCAACTACCTCAGCAGTCTTCTCTATCACTGTTGCGGGCTGCGGTGGCCCTGTCATTCCTGCCACTTCCCTCCACCCCGACGGGGTTCATCGTTCTCGTCATAAGGACGACGTCTGGTAGACCCGACTCAAGTCAATGGGGTTGCCAATGAGAGAGCAGGAGTTTAATTGAAGGAAGACATGTTCGCTTGCGATAACCCTCACCCCACCCAGCAGCCGGCAGGCCTCACCGCCTGCGACACTTTCTCGATTCCTATCGGTTACTTTCGATGTGCGGCACGTGCGCGCGTCGTTCAGTGCCGCCTCAGTCTTCCTTGCTCGTTCGCTCACTCAGGCCAGCGCCGCTCGTAATCTTTAGAGCAGAAAGGCAGAGAGACTCCTATTCATCGTTAGTCTATAACCTAGTCGAGCCCAACCAACGCCAAAGGAAAAGAGGAGTAGAATGAAAAAGGGGAACGATAGGCAAAGGCAGCAACCTCATGAAGAAATTTCTTGCAACAGTGCAAGGGGTTCAACTTTATGCAGTATATGGAGGGCGCTGCTACACCAGCGACATGTAGCTCCGAATGTTTCCGGAAGCGGCAACGGTGGTGGTAGTAGGACCATCTTGTAAGGCTCACTCCTGACTACCAAGAAGTGCGTTTGGTTGATGAGTGTTTCCTTAAGAGAAGAACACGCAGAAGGAAAACGAGATGAAGTTGCCTAATGGCACCTATAAGGCAGCACACTACTCCATAACAACGAAGGACCATTGCAGGCCCGGTAGCACGATTAAAACTACCAGTTAGCTGACCGGCGAACGGACGTGTCTACAAAAGGGGAATGTCCGTATGTTCCAACAACAAACCACAAAGTGTCTCAATCTGTAAACTGTATTTAAATGGGTATATTAGATGGGGCACAATGCAAGGTGAGCGTCAGAATGTCGAAGTGTAGCTTGTGCAATCTAATGGGTAAATGTTAAATTTTATAACGAAGTTCCACTACTCGCCATGCCAGGCTCTCTTAAGATACATTATAGATATATCGTCGTTGTATCTCTGTGGTCGACTGCAAGAGCTCTTGCTAATCGGTCTTAGTTGAGAAAAGTAACACCATTGAAAAGGTTGCTTGCTTTCGAGTTGATTAAAAGCTAAATATAAGAACAGATTCTCGCGACATTCTTTGTATGGATATGCTAAGAATATGGCTATCGTGGGCGTGACTTTCCAATATGCTCCCTGGTTTAGAATATGACCATATTATTGTTACAGATCTAGCTATACACAAATTTTCACATCTTACAGGAACAGAAAGGGCAAGCTGAAATGCCTTGCCAATGAATAGCCATTTTTCACGGTAGACCATTTGACATAAACGATGGTACCTGGTGGCAGTTCGAGGGGAATCTCGTGACCCTCCTCGGCTCTCAGTTCAGCTCAAATCTGCGCTGATTGTTGCGAGCCTGACACGCCCCTCGACTTCTTCTCCTTCAGCTCACAGGGGAGAAGTGGTAGCTTGCATCAACCCAACAATCGCAAATCGCCGCATCCAACGAGTCGGAAGTAACTCGAAAATCTTATCACCTAGGGCGCCCTACTCCTACTAGAATCAGTGCCATTGCCAATGCACGGCACCTGCATGTTTCCGCGGGTGATTTGGGCCGACTGGCCCAGACCCATCAGATCGGAAAAAATTAAGGCAAGCGATACCTTCTGTTACTACATTCTGTCCCGAGTGCGAGGAAAATGGTTGCTAGATTTGCTGGCGGTTGAACGCTATAGTCGGCGAATAAACGCAGGCTTGCTTCGTACTAGCATCAACGCTCAGCAGCGCCAAATACATAGATGTGTACCGTCACAAATAAAACAATTAGAATCAATTTGTTACTGACAACAACCAGATTAGTACCGAAATAAAACATAGAACGAAATTACGACCTTTGCTGCATTAGTTCAATTACGGGAAGTTCTTTCCTGTCTCTGATGGGTTTTACCTATCTCTAATGACATTCTTATTAGAGCGTCATGAACAAGAGGCGAAAGCATGAGCTGCTTTAAATACTGGTAATTTCGGTTACTAGTATTTGATTAAAACTAGAAACACAAAGGTCACGGATTTACGATGTATGCGCCTATAAGCGCTCTTCTGTAAATTCGAATCTTAGGACTTAATACAGCATCTCGCCTGTACTCGACGCCTACCAACAAAATTGTGGATTATTACCTCAGTATAACAGATGAACGTCACCAACTTATGGCGACATTTTTCCGTCAGTTCTGAGGTAGCTGTTCTTCCTGTTGGTGTACTAGTCTATGGGTATGTCGCTTGATAGTTCATTGTATCGTCATTATTGTGCAGATTCTCTGCGCGGCTGTTCGCTGTGTCGTTTATGTTTACCGCATCAGTACCGCATGCTCTTTCTGTGATTCAAATGTGAACCTTTTTTTTTTTTTTTTATTTACAACGCGGTATTGCTGGTGTCGCGTCTTTTTGGCACTCGCCGCCGTTGGCAGCATGTAACTCCCTCGAATTCGTCCAGTTCTTTCGACTATCAATAGCCTGTCCTATTTCCTTCGTTTGCCTGGCCTGACTCTCTGCCCAACCCTGGCTAACTAGTGATCCTTTAGTGGTTGCAACAGTAGTCTTTTGTATTGCCGTTTTTTGGTCGCGTGACTCCTAACGAACAAGAAAGTCTGGCAACGCGCAAGATACAACAAGAACGATAGACTCGACCCCGCAGTCAAACAACAACCTTGACGCACCGCTACTTCAATAAAGAATAAACAATTCTCCACGCTTGACATTACATACGTACATACAGACCGACCGACAGATAAAGGAAGGAAACTGTGCCTCCGTCCACCGCATGTATGATTTGTGTGAGAACAAGCCGATCGCAGATTAGCTAGCACTAAACCATAATAAAACTGAAAAGTAACAACAAACATTGATTGTAAAGACGCACGATGCGCCGTGACAATAAAACGACAGCATGTGTAAATGTCTATTAAACTTAGGAAGATGTGAGGTGGTCTGGAGTCGAAACGTGACGTAGACAAGCCTTTCGTGCTGGAATAGGCCAGTCACTCAGAGTGATGCTAAACGACGATACCGCACGTAAAGCTCGAAATACTGGAAAATGCGTACATACAGAATGTACTTTCCCCTTGTTTTATTGATCACTACGGCTGTAAAGAGTATTTCCTAAGTGGTTTGGATGATTAATGTCAGGTAGTTTGTTACTGTTTTAGCTAGCCATTCCCACGGAATAGTGTGCACGCGACAGTGCGTCTTCACCAACAGATCTGTTTTAAGTTCACGCAGACCCATTGCACGATCATCTGGGCAATGTAGGGTAGGCTAAGTGTCGTGTGTTTAAACTACGTACCCTTGCGACCTAGTCTCGTGCGTGTGTGCACGGTTGTGTATTTCTGTGTAACCAATGGAGCCTTCTGTCACTAGGCACAGCGAATTTGGCCACCTTGAGTCTGAATGTTAGCTGACTACCATTTTCCTACGGCTGCTTGCCTAGTCGCATCGGTTCAAGGAGTGTTCAGTGGGAAACGGTAACAGCGAGTGATTGGGGCTGTACTGTAGAACAGTACGCACCTTCTTTCCTGTTCCCGCTTGTGTACATCTCGAGAGATGGTGGCAGTACAATGATGGCTTCTATGAGATAGCAAAACCTCGTACTCTACATATATAATTTCGGCCGTCGTGGAGGGCTTGATCTCCTCTATATCGCGGCTGCTGTTGATGTTGCCGCTATTGCTGCGAGTGCGTGAGTGGCACGAGAATCGACTGACTGGTTGTTCGCGCGTCGCCAATCGATTTGCGACGGCCTGATTGCGTTCCTCCGTCGTGCGGCTCATTCTGACGCAGATATTCGCCTTCCATCCTTCACTCGCAGCGGGTGATGCTGTCCCTCCGAGTTACTTAGGACAGGAGGAGGCACAATAATCGAGTCGAGGGAGATAAACAAATGGATAGAGAACGAGGGGCCGAACTCGAATTCAGTGCGGTTATGGCTGCCGCCTTGACCGGCATACCGCCAGCGTCACCGGTGTCTACAGCCATTCAGACAGCAACTCCAGGACAAACCGACAGAAAACGAGAGGTAGACTCCACTATCTTTCTAAGGAACCGAATTTGGGTTAGTTGTCTCTGCTCCCGCAGCGGCAGCGGAAGCAAAGCAGCAAGACGCTTGGCCTGAACTGTGTGGGCTGCCCGAAGGGTCGCCCAAATGATCAACAGACGGGCAGATGAACCAAAGCACTGCTAAGGAACACTTGTAATACCGTGATACGTTTGTTCGCTTATGAATCGCCTTGTGATCGATAATGCGCACACACTATTTTAATGACCGAATCGTCTTGCTAGCCATACCACTGACGAGCGTCTGCTCATACGGTTGATTTCGTTCTATCTAATATATAAATAGACAGGTAGACGTGTATCTATGTTATCGCGTATCGTTTCTAGCTGATTCTCCGGAGTATCTGAGACCCTCACTTGACTTGTTGTCGAGTGATCTTCCATGATCGAATCGCTTCTGACTACCGTCATCGGGTCTTTAACAGTCGGATATGCACAGCCCTCAACCCACGGCCGTTTTGGGTTCGCATTCGTTGTAGCTTTTTGGTCATAATATTTCGACTCCGAGCAATCTAGCGTACATGTGCTGCAAACATTTCTTGATGCGGAGTTGTAGCCAGCTGCCTATTTGTTGCATTGTTCCGTTCCTTACTTCGGTACCTGATGTTGTGCATTTTTTTGAATTCCTTCTTACCACAAGTATCTTTTACTGTGTATATTTTTCGACACCTTCTATAGCGCAAAATACATTAATGAATGGACTTTAGTAACATTCCATGTCAATTTATGTATGTCTTTTTGTTTATGCTGTTTGTTTTTTATTGTTACATTATTTTTATTGACGATCATTTATAGATCAATAAGCTTTTTATATTATCTTGTTCATACTGTGATTGGTTAATTCGGTTTTCGTTAATTTGTTTACATCCTTAAACCTGGCTGTTGCCACGCAGATTATTATGTCATTTTTCGGCTATAATCTTATCATTTGAGTTTCGTCATTCTGTTCGTTTTTCGAAACTATGGTGCCAGGTGGTGTAATGCCCGGTCTCACAGCCGTCGGCCTCCATGAACTGGGCGCCCGTTACGCCAATGCTTCCCCTGCCGCCCCCATAGCCTCCGACGCTGCATCTCCCCGGGCGTACGACTCAGGTAATCATCATGATCACTGTTCTCCGGCCGTTCTTCTACTTCAGTGGTGATCAGCCGCTTTTATGTCTGGAAGCGTTTTTCCTTTTTCTCGGTGATGGTTTTCAGTGACGGTTAGGAATGAGCATCAACAGATCGATGGGTCTATTTATTCGGCAGTCATAGCTAGACACCACAATGAATACGCATCCCTATGCGTACAGTTATTTTTAATAATCATATATTTGCACCTCTCATCTACAGTTCTTCTTGCACAACCACCTGTCTACCATGAGCGTAACGCCCAATCACGTTTATTTTGTACATATATGGCGTGCTCTATGACGCATTAATTTTACAAAATGTATCCGTTCATCCTTACATGACCTTAATGCGAAATAACTACATTGTGCTGTTATTAATAACGACAATGAAGGAAAACCATGAAGTTACCATGACAAAGGCTTCCCCTTTCTTTCCCCCATTCGACCATCCCTTCTTACTGGCTGGAAGCAGAAGTTGTTGGCCAAAGAAGCGAAACAAGGCCAGAAGTGAAGAAACTGGCTGACTGATCCAGTAGGGAGATGCGAGGAATAGCAAATTCAAGAGTATGATAAGTAACCAAGCAGCATTATATCGCGTCCGGTCCCATCAACTGACTGACGACGCTCTCCCGTCTATGGTCGTCTCTGCGCTGGTCTTCGTATTTCGTCCTGCTGCCCCTGTCTAAAGAGGCAACCCTGCTGTACTGCTTTGCTCCGCTAGCTCTGTCGGCGGCCATTCCGATTTAGCCCCTCCTTCTCAGGAGAACAGACTCCGCCCACAAATTGATTTGCTTTTCTCCTTGGCCTGCTGCGGCTGCCACACCGCCGCTGCCGCCCGCGCTCTCTCTCGTTGCTTTTGCTGGCGCCGTTCCCGCTGATTCTCCTCGCCTCTCAGCTTGCGTCTTGGCTCGTCTAGGCTCCGATCCTGTCGCATCCAGGTCGGCAGGCATCACTTTCGCTCTCTCTCCTTTTCCCTCTCTTCCTCTTTGCAAGAATTCTCCATAGTCGTTGCGGCTGTCGCGGCCTCTCCTTGCCGCTCGCTTTGGCTCAGGCACCCTGCTTGGTGCTGCTGCCGCTGTTGCCGACGTCCGCGTTCCCTCGCGCTTCTCTCTACGCCTGATGCTGCTGCTGTTTTAGCTGCTTGTGCTAAGCAGCCGGCGGTACCTTCATTGCCGGCCGCTCTCCTCTGAGCTCTGGCGCCCGAACGGATGGGCTGAATCGCCCCCTCCCCTTCGTCATAGCGTTTCCCCTGACAATGTCGGACGGTCGGAAACTTGGTCTGCTCTGTAAGCTACTGGCATCACTTTGCCCCAGACCGTGAGTTTACCCAAGTAGGCAGTAGCAGCAGCAGTATTGCTGCAGGAGCTAGGAGCTGTAGCTGTAAGAGTGGTGGTAGTGAGGCAGCGGAAAGAGCCGGAAAGTGTGGAGGGGGGAGGAAAACGAGTAGTTGGGCCATGGGCCAGTCGTCGAGGATAACGGAGAATTGGCTCTGTAGGAACGGTAGCCGCCTCCGGCGGCGGCGGCAGATAAGAGGGAGCCACGACAGAAGCGGCACCGCCACCGCCAGAGAGAGCGAACGATGGGAGAATCTATTCTGCTGCTGCCGCTGCTGGCAGCCTGAAACTGGCGCGGCTGCGGGCCGCTGTTATTTGTATATGAACGCAGCGTTCCGTGGCCATGCACGTGAAGTAGTGGCAGAGGCGGCATGGGCAGCAGCAGCAAGATCAGACGACCGGAAGCCCTCATCCCTCGTCCTCGATGCGTTCCCGCAAATGTGATATGCACACCAGCGGCCAACTCGGTGGCCCCCTACTCACACAAAGCTCACACCCAGAAAGATTCGGCTTGCCTGACTCGCCATCGTCATATTCGCAGCGGTGCCGCAGCTGCTGCTGGTTGATGCGGTAGCGGCGACGCCGACTGAGCGGTCGGGAAACGGGAAAAGGTGTGGGCGCACAAGGGCAGGATGAACGCAGGATGCATCGGCCAACAACGCTTATACTTTTCCGCTTTTGGTCAAACGAAGACCATAAAAGGAAAGAAGGTTTTCTGCTACTTCAGGAAGCTGAGGAGAGCAAGAGCCGGCATACAACGATGCAGGCGGACGAGCAAGGAAAAAAGCACAAGAAGTGCGTGTGTGTATATAGACTGTCCTGCGTAGAGTATGTATAGCCAAAGTGCGTCGATGGCAGCGGCGGATAAAGAAAAGAGGCTACGTGAAGATCACACAAACAGGCAAAAAGGAAAGCAAGCAACACAAAAAGCCAAGAAATAATGAGAATAAGGCTACAGACGATGTCGAAGATGAGAAAAACGCAAAGAAGAGTCAAGATGCAAGGCACGAACTTGCATACCCCCCCCCCCCCCCGCATACACGCATATGTATACAAACATACGCAGCTGACAGTGGCGAAGAATGCAAACCAATGAACGCAAGAGAGTCGGCAGTTGAGTGGGAAGCGACAGATACCCAAGATAGAGCGAGAGAAAGGAAAAGGGCATTTGTCGTTGTTGCTACCGCTTTTCTATGGGTTACTGTTGCTACCCATGTTGTCATTGTTTTCGTTGTTGCTGTTCTTAGACCATAGGCATAGACGGAACATGGGACAAAAGGCGACTCCGTCATCAACGCCGGAGCAAAGCAGGCTACTTATGCACGAAATGACACTAAGCAACTCGAAAGCATTGAAGTCAATATTGAAACCGTCGTTCGCATCTGAGATATGCTCCTGTCCTATAGGTCTCCCTGCCGATAGCAGCGGCAGCAGTAGCTATAGCAATAGCTATGTGCCTTACTTGCTGCTTTTTGTACGAAACAAAAATTAACAGCGAATCGTTGGCGACGCGGAGAAGCAGAACAGCTAAAGGACAAGCGGCGGCCGAGCGAAGATTGGCAGACTGATGAGCAAGGCTCCACATTGGTGGACCTTTTTCTACGCTCCGCGCTTCCACTTCCCTGCTGTCCACGCACCTTTCAATGGTTCTGTCCGAACTCGTTTTTCCTTTTTGCCATCCTGTCGGCTTCTCTTAAGAATATCAACAGTCCTCGCGTTCCTCGTCTGCTCGCTGGTGCCCATCATTCCTTTACATCGACGCATCCTGCGGTACTTATGGAACGATGGCATTGTGCTCCTTTGTGTAGGGGGAAGGCGCATTTTAGGTTCTTCAAATGATCCATTCGTCGGAGCCACTAGATGTTCGTATCTGATGGCTTAGATGTGAACGCGTGTCTGAGTGAGCAAGTGGCGTACTTCTTTCCTAAAAGAAAGCCATTCTCACCTGCTCGTCATCGTCACTGATGTTTTTAAGACAGTATCACACTCGTAGTCTTCTTAACGGCTGGTAGGCCGAAAGCGAAGATGGAATGAAAAAGGCTGCTGAATGTTCTAGTGGCAAGCGCTCGATGATTTGAATGGAGAACGCAAAAACCAAGTGGAATACGATTTAGAGCAGGAAAAAGGGAACAGATGTTTGAGGAGAGAAAGGAAAATTATACAAACGAAAAACTTATTACAGCTAAATGCAATATAGTTATCCGCGATCTGGCAACGCGCTGTAGGCTCTTTATACCTGTTTTTCTGCGATGAGTTATCAGGCCTAACGCTGACATTTTTTGTAAGATTACATAGGTAATAAGGATGTCCACGGTTTACTTATCATCATTTTTTAATATGGATCGCTTTTCCGAACTGCACTAGGTAAACTTCATGCACCTTGGTAGTTACGTCGCGCTAGCTCTGACGTATTATTGCACGCTATATGGTATGAGTATTTCAAATACGTGACGTGTGTTACACGTCACATTGATCGTTATATACCATGCGCACTCTATTCTGAAAACTAATCCTGCACGCAAACGCACATATCATTGGTGGAAGCTGGGCTTTACACGAGACGCTCGTCGGCAATTCAGCAGGTTTATTCGCACCTTATACCTGTTATCTCTAATAGTGTCTACTGCACCACAATAACAGCATCGGAAAAATGAGATCAGACTTTGGGAAAACGTCAAAGCAAGGGAAGGAAAAAGTAAGTGTGCTTCTCGTTCCTGAAGTGTATGGTCGATCCCGTGTTGTTGCAGTGGCCGCAGCGGCCGAGTCCCCTGCCAAAGCCGACGCGCCGTTGGCCCCTCCGTTAGTCGCGCCGATGGCGGCCGCCGCCCCTAGCCTCTCGTCACTCACCGTGCTACAGCCGGTCCACTCGACGACGATACCAGGCTACGCCTCTTTCGCTCAGTACGCTGCACCCGCACCTCTCAAACCTCAGCCGCTGCTCACACTCGAGGATGCCAACCATAATACTACTGCCTCAACAACCGGTCCCCAAGAACAGTGTCCTGATGGTGAGAGAACAGAAAGAGATCTCCAATGATGTCCGTCCTGCTTCGAAGTTCTTTGAATTTCAAACGAGCTCGCTGTTTCCACTGTCCATCTATGAACCACTTGGAACCACGCCCATTGATGGCTGTGATTTTCTTAATATTTGATGATATGGTCCATAATTTGGTGACATCTGAGATATGGATGTACTACTTATATCTTGGCGCTTTGTTCCTTCTTCATTTTTAGGTATCTTCTGTCGTTTTGTAGGTAACGCTTAACTGTACAGTAGTGATCTGCCTGCCGCAGGCTGCAATATTAAGATTAAGGCTCATTAATAGAAACAGATTTACACAGCTTTTTTTATGAACTTCTATAACATCCGCTAACGAGCCAAATATCGTCCCACATCAAGCTGCTCAAAAACCTTGTATTACTTTTACATGACAACAGTTTTGCGAATGATTTTCTGTTTCCAGTGAGCGGAAGTGTAGCAACGACAAATGCAACCGATTACCCCTACGCAAGTCCCTACTCACAATACTCCACAGCTGCCGCGGGGGCATATGCTGCCTACGGTTACGGGTCTGGAAGCATTCTCAGTAAGTGAATAAATCATTTAATAACGGTTCCTTTGCTGTTGTGCCCCTCGCATTAGTTCTATAAAAGCGTGAATTGAAACTTTCTTTTCTCTGCTTTTTCGCTATATATAGGCGCTACTTTCTACCAATAGAACTCAAAAAGGACCCGCTAGTACTCAGGCGAACTAGCGCTCCTCTAGAGATGAAAACATTGGGCAAACAAACAGCTATAAGAAAAGTGCGCCCCATCTGATGCCGCGTTGAAAGTGTCAGTCTATACGCATGTCTATTGACCTCTACGGTCGATGCTGGTATACTCCACTGCGGCGCAGATGAACTAAGGTTGGGTGAAAAGTAGGAGAGTCACAGATCAACCAAGTTGAATCTAAATTATGGTTTACGTATGCGCATTTTAGAAGCCACAATCACTTGGTCATTTTGTACCCGTGACAGATAAATTGGCGAACTAACGCTTCCATAGTCAAATTCCTAGGATCTTCGATTTGGGCTTGCCAGGACAGCCTCATATCAAGCCATCCAGTCTTTTTGCTATATTTGCTTTTATACAACATACACATATTCAGCCGCTATAATCCCTATCTCTATAGTGTGCTCCGGTTATTCTATAGCCTTTCGGTATTATACGCGCGGTATAGCTAGAACTCAGAACGGTTTTTTCCAGAGTCAAGAGTCTATGCAGTTGACAATATCTAGCGAAGTCAGCAAACGCCAAAAAAGTATACTGGTCTTCTTTGTGATCTGCTACATCTATATACACTTACCTGAAACCCATACATTTGTTTTACTATTTCAATAGCTGAAAAATTAATTGTGTTCAATGCTGTCAACACCATGACCCATACCGTTTATGTTTCTAACGATGAATATCTGATCTTTGCTTTTACCCTCTGCTGCTCGTTACAGATCCCTCGTACTATTACACCCATAATGGGGCACGGTCGACTGCGGCGTCGACTACTCAAAGTGTTGCGTCGCTTGAGAGCTATAAAGCATCACTAGAGCGTTGCTGAGCCGCCCGGCGAATCTGAGCAATTAGAAACAGCGGTCGAAGTGTAGACGGACTACTATGAAGTTATAATAAGACATGCGCGAAAAATCATTCGACGGGACGATGAAGAGGCAAAACCTGAGAAAGGAGCTAAAGGGAGAAAGAGAGCTGAGAGAGAAGAAGACAAGAAGCAGTGATGCCACTGAAGGAGATCTCACTTGTGATAAAAAAAAGAACACAATAATGGACAAAGCATAATGATACTAATAAGAAAAGTAATAATAATAATAATAATAATCGATGAAGGCAACCGCGTCAAAAGAAAGCGCAAACTTTGCTCGCCCAGACATTATTGATTACAGTCGAAAATCATTTTCTGGTTGCATTGATGTTGTTCATTCTTACGGATGTGCGGTTTAGAGAACTTGACGCCGGACGCTCGCAACATCAGTCGCAGCTGCAGGACAATACGGGGATTACATATGAAATCTATTAGGGCAAGAAAGAAGGAAGTCTGTGTGAGAGCAAGGTTGACAAGGAATCGATCGAGACGCTAATGGACCTAGAGAGAGATAGCAACAGCTGTGAATAATGTACAGAGTTTCATTGGAGAGAGCGAAAGAAGAGGAAGAAAAGAAAAAAAACTAATAACAAAGAAGAGCGACCTCATATTAACAAAGACAAAGCAACATCACGCCAACACAACGTTAACGGTCTAAACAGAGACCACTGAGATTAAAAAATCTAGCTCGACCGCCCGCACCAGTTTGTCTACAATGCAATACATTATTTTATGACTATTACTATCATCTTATTCGTGTTCTGGATCCCTGTAGGCGGAGAGAGAGAGAGAGAGAGAGAGAGAGAGAGAGGGAGAGAGAGAGGGAGATAAACGATGAGAGCGAGAGAGAGAGAGGGCAGAAAGAAAGCATGGACAAATGGTAAAGCTCTCGTTGGTTTCAGCCGATCCGAGTTGGCTGATAGCCTAGTTCTCAGGGAGTCGCACGACATGAACTAGCATCTTTCAGCACTAATCGACGACTCAATCTGCCAGGTATGTTTCCGTTTTGCAGGGGAACACGAGGGAGATGGGCGTCGTGTTATGACCATGTACATTGCTTACATATGACTACTTCTCGAAGTAAGGAGGTTGGTCGCTGCACGGCACTAAGGAGAAAAATAGCACCACCATAAACGGGTGACAAACGGGCACCACTTGCCAGAAGCCCACGGCAGTCGGACGTAGGCTGCGCACCGAGCTCAAGCCCCCGGAAGTGAGACGAAGGGAGAAGGTGAAATCCAGGGAGGTGGCGTACTGCGCCCGGCTTGCTGTCCGGCTCTCAGACGCAAATACAGAGGATACCAAAGAACCGGAGTCGACTCGACAGCAGCGTTAACTTTGAACGGCCCCGATTCACCTGTGGTTAATCACAACGCTACGCTACCCACGGGAAGCTGCAGAGCCCGCCATGCACAGGCTGACGTGTACGGGATACGCCTATATCGATATCTCCAGAAGCTCGCGGGTCAAAATGCTGTTCGTGCGACTGTTCGCTAGGACAGCAAAAAGGAGTACGAAAATCAGGCGCTGAAAACGACGACGTAAGCAATGTTGATTGGTGACAGCCACAGATCAAGCGGGGACATCGCAATGATACAGTCAGTCGGCCATTGTACACATAACTTTGATTGATTGGTCGATAGATCGATCAAGTGAGCATCGATTCATTGATACATAATACAACCGCATTGTATTTTTATTCATCTAATGACGACGACGACGACGACGCTGCTAAACGAAATTATTATCACTGTTCTTTCCACCCGTATCTGTTAGTACCCTTACTGCAACGATGAGTAATATATAGATGCTGAACATAATGGCGTAAATAATTTATTATCAGAAGCGGAAACACACAGAAGTATCCACACAAATAATCCAGAGAGCTACAGATGTTGCGCTATGGCAAAACAACGGCGTAGAACATTACCAATGTCAGAGTGATCAATCGGGCCAACTACGGAAAACGTAATATTTAGCGTTGTCGCAAATCATATTTTGTTTTTTTTCATGAGCAATGAAAAGATCCGTACAAGACAATGAACCACACGAACGTAGTCACAGGCGGCGTGAACAAGTATTGCTATACGTCACACGCTGACTTCTAACACACGTGGCAACACATTGATATATAAACAAAAAATATTCAAATCTGTGAAACGTTGAGCTGCTGAGGAAGAATAAGTAATATAATTTCTCATTTTATATTACCTATTATAGCTATAAGTATGGCTATTATAATTCTAATAACACCTATACATGAATATATACATAATTACAAACGTTCTGACGATATGATATAACAATTACTATGAATAGTAAGATGATAACAAGGATATTAATAATAATACTGTATTCATTTGAAACTAGACAACTTAGGTAATGCATATATATATATATATATATATATATATATATATGAAAAAGCGCGGGAAAATTTAAATTTGCGACCGACCCCAAAAGCAGTGATGTCACAATCACACGGGGTCGCTGTTTTGGAGGGGCTGGTGCGAGAACGAGACAATAGTCGAAAAAAGCTGATACAATAAGGTTTATGTATATAGTATCATGACACCAATTGATATATATATATGGTTATTACTGTAATAACCTACAGCGCCGATGGTTCTGTGCCAACCAACGTCCGTCTATATAAAACTCGAACTTGAAAAAACCTCATCATATTATTAGATTATTGATAACATTATTAATCTTAGCGACGGTAATACGGCAAACCTGGGAAACTCGCGTGTGCCCCATATCTGCGTTGAAAATTGTGCCTCTCAATAAACACAAAAAACGAAATAAAACTAGTTTACAATTAACTGCAATTACGAGCATAACTTTTAGACGCACGTGGGAAGTAGAAAAAAAAAACAGACAACTGGTGTGTAATCGTTTCGTTTTCCCGTATAAACACTTTTTACTGGCGGTCAACATGAGTTCGCTTTATATTTGCGTGTATTCCCGTGTATATTTGCCGTAAGAATATCACAACTAATTGCCCATTTATTAGCTGAGTTGAAGGGTTCCTCGATATCGTCAACCAATTCATAAAAGAATACCGTCTCAATATTATGCTTGTTATTACTGTAATATCGATAATTACATTATCACTAATATAATCTAAGATAATTATATTGTGAAATCTTCGTTGAGGTTTTAGTTTAGGTAGCACGATTCGTTCTCGCCCGGTGCGTTTATGTTCGATCTTCATTAGTTTCGTTACACACAGTACAGCGTCAGATAGAACCTTATGGATATATCTACGCGCTGAATGGTAGTGGACGCTTAAAAACTCGAAAATAGCTATACTTGCGTACGTATTAGGTCTTCGCAAAAACGTACTTCTTTCTCTTTTTTTTTTTTTTTTTTTTATTTTTTTTGATAATTCGTTTTACAGAACATGCGAGTACTATAATGCTGGTAGTCACAGTAAAAGCTTATTCGAGGAATGACATTAAAAGAAAAACAAAATAATTCCTGATCGTTGCGTCCTCTTTGCAGAAGCAAAAATAATCTCATACTGATACTGATTTTATGGCTGTCATATCTAGACTAATCCAATGAGAAAGTTCTGTACGAAAATACGATAATTATAAATATATAGACATATATCAATCGACAAGGATATATATGAGTAATATATAATATTACTATACATAAAAAATAAGAGCGAAAGTGAAGGATGAGGAATAGTTGTCATTGTACATATGAGGATAAAGCAGCACTCGTCTATTCAAATTTCAACACAACACTAAAGGCAAATTACCGTAATACTATACGAATTTTGATAATCTTTCCATAAAACTGACGGCACGCAACTCAGCGTGCCTGTTCAACCAGCCGAAACGGTCCCCAAACTACACAGACCCATTATGATATATGTAGGATGCTCTACGAATTAAATAATTATAGTTATCTAATTCATGTTTTTTTTTTTGCTTTTCATTGAATTAAGAAATGAATTGTAATTAATTGTTGCATGATATAATTGCGATCATTATCATCTTGCAATGTTTGTCGCGCCCTAAATATGATGCCGATGTCTCGGGTACATCGGGTGACATAATACAATAACCGACCATAACCGATGGATGAAAATATGTGTGAATGGCAACAGGAAAAGACGGTTGGCTGAAAGGAAGGAACAAAAAATCGAGAGTGGATTTGGAAGTCATAAACGAAGAGTGACTTTTACCACAGCGATCAAATGAAACGCGTGGTTCGTCTGCGTCATATTTATTGCGTCGATGGTGCGGACGGGAACGATCGCAGATTACCCCAACATACAACATACAAACAAAATGTATTGGTCAATCGTTGCGCTGATGCAGAGAACATAACAATAGAAAAATGCTTGCGACAACAGTAACATCTGTTGAAAATCCTGACAACGGACAACAACCGCTACAATAGCTCTACCCTAAAAATCGTTGTAATAAGAAGGTGGCGACATCAATGGGATTAACGAAAGCAACCCAGTTTACCAACATCAACAAACAAAACCCCATTACAAACCTCAATAAATATTTAGACTATTACAAAAGAATAATTTTCCTGTCTACTCCTTGTAGTTAGTGTAGTAGGACTGCAGACGCTTATGCTTTCCCTCTTGGATAAGTTCAATTTTGGCCTTATTCAAGCAGTAAACGCTGTTGAAATTTTTAGAACTAGGACAAAGAGCCAATTGATATTGGCTCATACGAACCGATTTGACAATGTTGTTAACTTTCGCCCGATTTCTAAACTGTTTTTTCCAGACAAAACGCTAAAGCAGAGCTACAGGTAAGGCTATTTTCAGCCTTGGCCTTTGGTCAGTCAACCTCGGTTGCCTATTTTGCCTCATTACCTAGTAGCCATAAGCGAAAGTTTTCGCAAAGAGGATGTAAATATATTAGTAAGTGGTGCCGTATGAAATGCTTTCAACAGTGCGCGATGTGAATATCGTCACTGGAACTTGTAGCAGGCAGGGCATCGCAGTGAACCATGAAAATCCGGAAAATTTTAATGATTAATGAATGCATTGCCGAGCCACGGCGGCACACGTAGCCCGTCATATCGACGTTTTAAGTACGTACCGGGGGAAGTAGCGAAAGTCGTTAGTTTAATTCTAAACTTGAGCACGAACCCGTAGTGAAAATCATTAACATCGAGCTAAGTTCTGTACCGAAATGGGTACGCCAAGTGAGAACCAAAAAATGACAATATAGGGCTTCTTTCTGCTCTCACGCTACAAGAGTGACCATATATCACTACATCGAACTGTGATTTGTAGTGACAAATGTATCTTTTAGGATCACTACAGATAGGCAAAGATTACACTAAAGCTAACGTAGATTTGCAAAAAAAAAAACCTATGGTGCCTGTTTCATATCTAATATAGGTATTATCAACCGTAGGTCACAAAATCTGGAAGTGTCGTGTTAACAAACTTCACATTGAGCAGGCAATAGAGTTAAACCGTTTTTGCTTTGCGGCAGTGCTCCATTTCGCACTGCAAAAGCTGTTAGTAACAAAAATACAAAAGCTACAATTGCTAGCTCCTTGTCATGCATCGTACCCATTATATATCGTTCGCGCAGACTGCATTTTTCTCTTGAAAATCTCGAAGAATTTTTCAAATTTCAACGTAATGTCGAAATTATTTTTCGAGAGTACATATGCTCGATCCACAGGCTTCTACGACCAGATTTAAATAAGTTATCACCGTAAGTAACATAGTTGCATAATTCAAATAGAAATAAAAGACCTACGTTTGTAACAAAAGATTCCAAAAGATGGAACAAAAGTTCCACTAACGCGCGTATAAGGAAGCTCAACGTAACATAAGCACGTTTGCCATTGACCGATCGTCGGCATAAGATGCTTGACAGCTTTCGGGTCTGCATAGTTAAATGTCTCTATTGGACATACATAGAATGAGAGGTAGTCTTACATTTCGCTGTAAAAAGCGGCGAAAGGCGATCCTTCCTTTGGGCCGTGTATAAAATAAATGTATACATTTATGTAGATATTCTCTTCAACTTCCGGAACCACCGGAAAAGTGTCTCCACTAAGGCTCTGCTAGTTTTCTCTGTGTTGGTAGTAGAAACTTCAAGAAAGGTATATACATATTCCTACCTATAGAATCCACCTGTTTTGCCTTTGTCAAACTTAAAAGTGAGAATAACATTGCTGATAGAAAGGTATCGAGTTCCGTAAACAAAATACAGAACGAACAACAAATAAATCGTTTATTACATCTTTTATCGATGATCTGCATTAAGGACACCTCAGATTTTTGAGGTCGACCTATCGACGAATTCAGTATCAGATTTCATTTTGTCCTAAATGTAATGAAAAAGTATTATAAGGTAGTTGAAGTTTCCTAACACCAGTCTCCGGTCACTGCTAGTGGCCGCTACGTGAAGACCTATTTAAAATATATTGCGCAGAATAATGAGCACGACAGTGGTTATCTAGACGTAACTGCACTATAATCAGATGTTCGGAAGTCGAATTCGATCTTGAATAAGCTTCAGATATTACTAAGTCCCTTAGCTGGCGTTCAAATCCTGTGTTAGTAGGCGCAGCATCTGACATGATTTATTATAATCGAGGCAATCGGAAACACAGATTTTCAGTAACGAAACTTTCACGGTGAAGGTTCAACAGCTGCTGAAAGAATGGTATCATAGCCTACTGGAAAAGTAAAAAATACCTTATCTGAATACTATTCAACTTATCCCTAGAAATGAAAAAAAGGGGTGGGTGGGTGGGTGGGTGGGTGGGTTAAAGCCTTCAGTCTTATCCCTTTAAAATTAGACTGATGGACATCTAGAGTCTCGGTATTGTAGTTATCAATGACACGGACACTTGAAATTATAGCAGTAACTGCGAAGATTTGCACCTAAATTATTAGATCACAGGAAATGACTGAAGAAACAGCGGATTACACTTCAGGACAATTATGCTTATTGTTAATTACACTTCGTTTGCAATAATCAACGAACGAAGATTTTAGCACCTGCTTCTATTTTAGGCAAATCCTTTTGCGTTAGCTAATTATGATGTATTATTATCATGTAAGGAGAGATAAATTTTACATAGAAGCTCCAGTATGCACGTATCTACTCTCGTATCCTTTTTTTGGCCACGTGTTGGGCTTCACGTCGAGTACGATCTTCACTGAAATTGACTCATCAGATTCAAAGTCTCGTTCTGCATGGCTTCCTAGATAAAACTATAATCTACAACTTATCTGTAGGAAGCTTAAATATCTACTGTAAAGCAATTACAATGTGTAAGTTGGCCTATTGCTGAACACCCGAATCTTTTATTAATGTAACTGTTATTCATACATATTGAAACGACTGGTCGTAAGCGTAAAAAATTGGGTTACTCAATCGGTTTTTAGCACATCAGAAAATACATTTTTATCTTCATTTGGATCATCCTGTCAGTAGTGTGTATATGTTAAATAATCACATTTACAAACCCCACCATTATACATATATATATATATACACATATGTACATATATATAATTATTATAATTTACAACACTTTTACAATGTACAAATAAACGGCTACAGACTACCAGTGAACATTAGACACGCACTAGATTGGGTAAAAATCGTAGGTAAAACACCACATTTGCTTCAACTGAACAAAGCAGATATGCCGCAGACGACGATGCACAAACATGCAATACAAAATGATTTTTCCTTCACAACACGAGAGCACTAGATCAGCATAATTCGAAAGTTTAGCCGTGCTAAACGGACAGATATGTGAAACATACATTTCCTCATTTGTTGTCATACGGGGACAAAAAGATCTTCATTGCTACATTTTTATAAATATATAGCACGAAGGACAGATGGCGATACAAACGGCTAACAGTCGCTGTACAAACTCGCTATAAGAACAGGTTAACAATAACAATCGAGGAAACGGGAAGGGACGATAAATTAGACATCAAAGATGACCACAATAACAACAGTAAGATATTGCTGACATTTCGCCTTCACCAACCGCCACTTCCGCCTCCTCCGTGACCACCGCCCCCGCCGTTCCATCCGCCGCCCCCGGCGTTCCAACCACCGCCCCCGCCGTTCCAACTACCGCCTCCGTGACCACCACCACCACCACCGGCAGTTTGAACCTTCACAATGTACTTCTTTCCACCGCCGTGTCCATGGCCGCCGCCCCCGCCTCCTCCGCCTCCTTTCTTGCCACCGCCGCCACCTCCTTTACTGCCGAAACTTCCTAGACTACTCAAAAGGCCACTAAGTTTACCACCACCGCCGCCGTGGCCGCCGCCACCGCCGCTCTGGACCCGCTTGATGATATAGGATTTTCCGCCTCCACTAGGGGCCCAGCCGCCGCCGCCGCCGCCTCCACTAGGGGCCCAGCCGCCGCCGCCTCCACTAGGGGCCCAGCCACCGCCGCCGCCTCCTCCATGTCCGCCTCCTCCAGCAGCCCAGCTGCCGCCTCCTCCATGTCCGCCTCCTCCATGTCCGCCACTACGGGAGAGCTTCTTTATTATAGCTACGAGGGCGGCTGCTTGTTGTGCGCCGTCGCCACCGCCACCACCTCCGTGTCCACCGGCACCACCCCCGTGCCCACCGCTCGGAAGTTTTTTGATGATGTAGGCTTTGCTGATGGCACCCTTGCCGCCTCCGCCGCCAGCCCAACTGCCTCCACTATCAGCCCAACCACCTCCGCCTCCATGTCCGCCTCCATTACCGGCCCAGCTTCCGCCTCCATGTCCACCACCGCCAGCTGTTTCATCTATTTTAATGATGATCTTCTCTCCTATCTGTGGGCCCCCGCCATGACCGCCCCCTCCTTCTGCCCAGCCTCCACCGCCTCCTCCGCCTCCAGCCCAGCCATCATTGCCTCCATCGGCCCAACCTTCTGCGCGGCCATAGCCGCAATAAGCAATGCCAACTAGTGTAGGTAACAGTAACTGAAATATGGACATAAAAATAGCATTAAGGTCAACGTTGGCATGAGCTGCACAGGCATTTTTGATTAAGAAAATTGACATTTTTGTTAGTTTTTTTACGCATAAAACGAGTGTTGATGCAAACTAAGTTAGGGAAAAATCCGGATCTACAAAGAATCATCGCTAAGTATGTAAATCGCGACGCAGACCCTTCGTCACTATAACGTTATATACAGGCGAAAACCTTCAACTCTGTTTTGTTATCCTACGTTATTGTAAATGGAGGATTGTAGCTGTTTGGAAGGCATATTGGTGTATATATATGATCTGTATCCAACGGTCCTCAATTAAGGGGTTTAGTTAAAAAATGTTCTCTGTTTTGGTTATAAAGAGTACAATTTGTTGAACTAAACAGATAGATTCCAAAAAAGAAAACGAGAGTGCATTTATGTGCAGCACACATCATAAAGAAAAAATGTGTACGTATTTATCCGCGCACAAACACTGTATCACAGGCGTGGCAATTTTATCCCAAGCACTAAGTACGATTTTTCACGCACAATCAGTTTATTTTGCACGAGATTAGCCATGCGCACGTATCAAGCACAGCACAAGTCACACATATACAAATCAGCACACTAATTAGAAACAATTACGTCCGCATATTGTGAGATGGGGCAAAGATTTCGAGGTTTTTCAATTTCAATCCTCCAGAAGCGTTCGAGGTTGCCGTTTATGGCATTCTATTGCAATAACACGTACCAATGCTCTCATCGTTGCAGAAGCTCTAGTCTCTAACACAACAAGGGGGTAAATTTGTAAGCAAACAACGTCCCTTGTTGCTTTTTGACGGCTTGTCTTCCCGTCAAGACGAACAAGCTCTTTTATCTTCAAGACGTTGTCAGCTGGCTATGGGGAAGACATCGGTTGTCTCTTTCACTTTCCTTTTTCTACTTCTACTTTTTCTTTTCTTCAGCAAAGGCATTAGGTCCAAGCGATGCCGGCAACAGCAACAACGCTAATGTACACATCTTTAGCTAAGAGGTGACGCAGCCGCATGTCAACTAACAGCAGCAGGTTAAAAGCTTGACGTGAATGAAAAAAAAAACTTAAGCATTTCAACATGAAACGCATTTGTGTGCGTGCGTGCGTGTGTGTGTTCAACTGTAACTTCTATGAACGATTGGCCCTAACACCGAAAAAACGAGCCCCTGATGACACCGTCAGCTTAAGTAATAATAATCACACACGCTTACCTTTGCGCTGCGCTGATGATTAGTTTGCCTCCAAACCTGGTAACATTGCAGCTGTATAGCCGTTGCGCAGTTGCTGCTGGTCTCGTCAATTTTTTTACGGTAAATTTTGGCAAATTAAATATAGCTGCGGCTGCCGTTGTTTCAATGATGTATAATGCGATATCTGCAATCATTCTAATGTCTACTATGAAGGGCAACAAAGTTGACAGCGTATAACAACTGATCATTTTGGTAAGGGACACAGCATCTTTAGATAGTCAAGCTAACTGACAACGTAATTGAGAAATGCATACGCAGAGCTATCCGGATTGGGATACATTTGTCCCGTATAAATTGACGTTTATGTAGTCAGTAGATGTAAAATTACTTTGTGTTATTAAGCACCGTGTACTACCGAAATAGTTCCGAATCACACTCAAGATATCTAGGTAGCACCTAGCAATAGCTTAACGGCTAATGTCATTCTTACTTAAAAAAAAAAAGTCGTTTATAAGGCCTACAATATTGGTGCTTTAATTAATTGCTCATGCTCAAGGATTTACTTTAACGGGGTGCATGACTTGACCATTCATTGCATGAATATTGTTAAAGTTAACCGCTAATACATTAGATTACGGCTTGCAGTAGACAAATACGACGAAGTGACCTTTTCAAACTATTTGGTGTGCCAACATCGCTATTCCAGGCTAGAAACGCCAAGAGTCAAAGTGCGATGCATTGATGTCCACACAGAACGTTGGTCTAAACAGTATCAAAAGTGTTTAGTGCTTTGTATCGGCGTCATACGCAGAAGTGCGAGAAATATAAAATATGTAAAACCATTGCAACTGCATGGAAAAATGGTGGCTGAAATTGCCTTTGTTTATTGACAGGTACTTTAAATATGGCTCATGCTTTATCACATTCTAAGTGTTCTTTTAAAGGATGCCTTTGCATTATACGATCTGATACATGAATAAATCAATCTAAATAACATTAACCAAGATACATACGGAACCGCAGAGCAGGCGTAATCGATTTGACTTCAAAAAAATGCCAAACGATTATTTGATTTGATACAATATAGAAACACATTTAGGTTCGCTGTAACGCTGCCGGCAGTATCAGTTGTCGTCCACGAAACCTCGCGTTAATCTGTTAACACGGCTATTCACAACAGAAGCGAAAATTGTATAGAAGCTTTGATATCTAATGTTATCGTCCTATTCACGATAGTGACTGCAGTTTGTCAGAAACATGGCAAATATCTGAAAACATACCGGGGCTCAACGTTATTTTTCAGAAGTAGTATTGAAATGAAACATGAAAGTATTGTGACCGTGCATTGACCATTAATAGATTGCCGTCAGATGCCATAAGAGATTTGGAAAAGACTACACTTAAAGATTCCGCAATAACCGATCCTCTCATTACATAGAACTTCAGAAAAGATTGCTTGCTAACAAAAAGTTATCAAACCACTATAATACATGTACTCCCTGAAGATTAAATTAACAATACTGTAGTAAGCTGTACTAAATTATACACGTAAATTCTACACATTAGCGAATATATGTAATACGATAGTGATACAATCTACTTGCGACGATAAGTTCCTGATGGGCAACGAGAACTCGTAAAAATACGCTGGCATTATCCGATGTTGTATTATGTATTATGCGATCTGCCGACCGGAAAACGACATAAATTTACAACCAATTTTGAGTGATCGCAAGTTCGCGTCGTTTATATATATGGCCTACAATAAACGCCTGTTTATTGTAGGCCATATATATAAAGGGGAACCCGTTCGTCACTTCTTACTCAATCAAGCGTATTCAATGTTATTCATTTGTTAATTTCACTCTAATACGAGTACTTGCACGAAACCTCTCTATTGTTTTGTCGCCAGTTCAAGCCAGTAAGATTTGTGAACAAATATAGCGGAGTAGTTTATTTTACAAGTACGATTCGAAAATCATTGTACAGGTTGGCTTTCGCTGCCTTTCGAACGGCCACAGACTTTGCTAACCTAGCTTCGCTAAGCGTACTTCTATAGTAATTATCGCCCTTAAAGAATAACTAAATTGGTTTGGAAATGAACCATTTAAAGTTCCCTTGTTTCCTATTACTTCATAAATTTATGTTTGTCAAGATTTTTGAGCGAAGGTCTAGGCCACCTTTTCTGTTTTGGCTATCTTCCTATATGTATCTACTGCAATGGCACGTTTGAGCGTAATAGCCCTTCGTAAACATTAATTTGAAATTTTTTTTTTAGTTTGTCTACATAGCTCGGGAGTTAGTTGTGACCGTAAGCTACATATTCAGCACGCCGACAAACAGAAACAAGTTACTCCTCCAGCCCGATTAGGTTTTGAACTCCAATTTTGTAACCCTCATGTAACTCTAATTACTTCTCCATTTCAGTTAATAATCATAAATATTTAGTTCTTATTCAGATAGCGTCAATCCTGCACTCGCCCAAATCTGTATAGTTGATACGTATAGTTGGAAACACGTGAACGTGAAGTCGAAAAAAATATACTAAAACAAAGCTTCTTATCGGTATCATTTTATTTAGTCGTTCACCCCTCGGTCACAAAAGAAGCTGTATACTATCTATCGTTAGTTTTTTTTTTGAGGTTAGCTTTAAAACTGACTGGGTGGATTTTGTCGCTGCGGTGTGATATCTTGACTTTTCTGATTCATATGAATTGTGCCCACGCAAGCGCTCAATCATCAATTTAAAGTCATTATTTTGCCTCTATCTCTGTCCTACTTTGTTGTTTTTTAGCCTTTAATTTTGACATACTGCATAGGGGCCTTTAACTGTATAACAAAACTCTACCACAGCGTTTAATTTAAGGAACCAACATTAATAAACGAATCGTTAGTTATTTGATTGCATTTATTGTACGACGTGGGTACTTAGCGTTAGTCAGATGTGAAATTCCGTAAATTAACAAGCCACAATCAGTGCCCGGAGTGAGCTTCAAAATTTAAGCGCGTCTCAACTATTTCTGCTTTTTTTACATCAAAAGAAAAAACATTTTTTGTATAACTTAGCGTAATGGAACGAATTTCTATAGACAACTGATTCAAATGTTTTGAGTGTCGCTCGTATTCTAGTGTCTACGGATAAAATAAACATTTTTTTACTTAAGGATACGATGAACACATATGCTACACTGTAGAACCAATGAGTTTTATATTCAGCGAGCAATTTTTAATAGCAAACGTCATTAACAACACGAATATAAGTACTCTACATAATTTCGTTGATTTTAACATCGATCGCTCCTCGTGGCCATCGTCGTTTTTGTGACTAGTCGCCGTAACGCGGTAGCATTAACTTGCTCTAAACGTGGCTGGTACGTCGCTACCAATCGCTCGAAGCACTAATGCGCTGTAGAGATAAATTGTTTTCGGTTGGCTAGAATCTGCAGTCTAAAATTTGAGGTACAAGGAGCAAGGATCTTCCTGCGCGTCTACCCACATTTTAACAGGGAAATCTGCTGCTTGTTTAACGCAGTCGGTCCCAACGATGGCGCCTTAGACGAAGGCGCAAGGACACGGGGTCGCAACCCTATCACGACAGTTGTCGCCGTTTTCCCCATTATCGTTCGAAGCCATTCGAAGCGACATGTAGAAAAAGAAGAAGATCTTCAAGTACTAGAAGTCTTCACGAAATGACAAATGGTCGTTTCAGCTAAGGTTGATGCTGTCTAGATGAGATAAATGTAAAATGTTTACATTTTATTTTGTTGACGTCGCTATTGTCGATAGTTAGTTTGTGTTAGTTAATCGTTACGTGCCATGGCTAATACGCGGGAAGGCAGCGCTTTTTATCAGCGGTGCTTGAAATGATACAAACATGTTTGTTATTTCCAAGATCCCAAAGTATCGGACACCTATTAGATATTTTTTTATCTGAATTGAAATCAAGATATTTATAAATATACGTTTATTAAAAAATATTAAGTTTGTTTTTATAGCATATTGGAAGTAATGCACTCTGTCACCATAAATGAATGATGTGCCAATGAACTCAATGTTGGGATTTCAGTACTATTTACTATAGTCGAGTTTCAGTAACGGAAATGATTAGGTTTTAAGTACAGCTGCTAATTAAGTTACGACGCTTAGCAAAGGCTAAACTTATTCTTCGAACGTCAAGTTGTTTACAACTGAGAGCTACACTATAAATAGACTGTATTAAACTTTTATAAGTTTTTTATTCGATAAGATAATTTTTGGTCACATATGGTAACAGTAGCGTGCAGCTATAATAAGATGAAGGTAGCTCATCATTCTTTAGTTACATATATGCATGCAGTTTAGTGTATGCAGTTTCACCATAGCCTCGAAATTGAGCAAAGCCAGCTGGTGATCTAGCATAAATTCATTGTACACTACACAGTGCGGAACAAACTCATACACAGTCAACGCATGTGGTTCTATTTTTCCCGTTATTATTATTATACGTAACGATATTTTACCACGGACCAGGCCGTCGCTTTGGGCTTTTTGTCTCTTAGAAGCCCTCCTAGTATTCCGGAATACCCGTTTAGCTGATTCACACTATATGTCTTATGCAATTAATACCTATGCTTGGCAACGTGTTCGTAGATAGAGAAGATGCTAACGCACTTGAATAGAGGAAGTCGTTAGAAAAAAAGGAAGCACAGTCAGTTCACGTCCTTCCTACAATCCAGACAGTCTATTCGTAAGAAAACATCTGTCCAAAAAATAGTCCCGCTGACTATAATCACAGCGGCCATCATATTTCACGGCCACTGAATTCTCCAATCCAACAACAAATTGCGTCTTAACGGGTGCAAGTGGACCAATTCCACCCATCTTTGTTATACAAAAAAAAAAAAACTACATTTCAACCACGACAGCAAAGATTTGTTCCTTTGAAACTCGAGCGAATTCAGGTAGGTCACCATAAAAGTCTACCGCTTATTAAAAGAATATGATTGTCTCGTATAATTTTTTGTTAGTTTTATAATTGTAGCTTTGTTGAAGATAACTATGAATTCACTTGATCCGTTCGTTTGCAATAAATTGACGACGAGATTTTTCTTTATCCTTATCATGCCCAACTTGTCTGGTTTTTTGGCGCTTTTTACTAAAAAATAATCACGCAGCGATATTTGAAGGGCTCAAAACCACTAGACAAGATAGCTTGTCGCTTAACCCGTCTAATCATGATGCTGCGTTAAAGGCGAACGCATTAATAATATCGACTGAACCAAAATAATAAATAGCGCATATCGTTTTGTCGAGTACCAAAAAGCTTTCATTTCTGTAAAATGGATATGTGCAACAGGCTGTAGGAACTCATGATTTTTAGGCTGGATAAAACACGACACTTGAACTTCAGGCTTCGAAGCAGAAATCTAAGGAAATTGCGCACCATTAAATTTACGCTCAACAAAATAGATCAAGGTTCAGATGCTTTTCTAAGACATTAGGCTTAGTTCCACCTAAGTAAGCGTCCCTTCGACTTGTGTATTTACAGATGTTCTCACCGCCAGCCAATCCATACGAACCTTCCATGGGCTCTACTGATGCTGTCTACTATATTCTGTTCATGTTTATGTTGGAACTCGAAACTTGCCGCAACACTGGATGTGTTTGTGAAGAATCTATCCACCTCCCTTAGAAGAAATAGAAAAATTTTCGCAGATATTTCCCTTCAATTCAATGCGCTACTTCTATCTACAGTCACTAGAGACTTTGCTCTGACGCTACGAGACAAGCTACTGCGACGAAGTGCATAAACTGGAAGAAAAATATGTTCAGACGGCAATTGCCACATTCGATTCCTACTGTTACAAAAACGTCGTTGATAAAACGATTTGAGAAGCTAATCTGGCCTATCGCTAAAGAAATGGTCTTCGATAATGAGTAATGCTACTTTGCTTCGAATCAATGATACCGTATCCTTTCAGATGAATGATTTCGTCTGCAATACAGCCCCAGTGCATCACGAATTTACTCGACCTTCATTCACTAGCGATAGGTGCAGACAGGAGCTGATCGTATGCGATAAGTTAGTTGCATGAATTAAGTAATATTAGATGCTATACATGAAGGTGAATAGGTCGCGTTATTCACAGTGTTATTATAATACGTACTTAAATTAATTATCGCACTTTAATAAACAATAATCTAGAGAGTGTTCAATCTATTTTATATAAGCGACCATCGATTACGGACAGCGGTGAGCAATGGGGTGGGGCGATGGACCCACAACAATGAGCACACGAATTTTATTCCATAGAAATTATTTCTTATTGCGAGTATTGCGTTTACTATAACAAAAAAAAAAAGAAGATAAGAAGATAGTCGTATTAGAAATTGCTTTAATATGACAAATATTTAAAGTTTACTATTTTGGGAATTCAGAAATGCACGTTTAGGTTAAATAGTCTGGTTAAGGCTATTTAATTCGAAATTCGGCTCTTCGAAATTTTTGACTGGTTTTTATGACAGGAGTAGGAGGCATTGGGAGAATTAAAATACTTTTGAACATAAAAAAAACTAAAAACTTCTTGATCCCAAGCGTGCTTTCAATTCTACAAACGTCATGTAAGATATTATGAGATTTAGGATATATTAGATAGAATATTATGCTTAGTTTTTACCGCTATTTTTGTCAATTTATCCACTAACTTTATTACTAGGTTGTCGAATGAAATAAAGAGTAAATTCGGTAACACGATGAATAGTCCGATTGAAGAACAGACTAAAAACGACTTTTGGAAGATAATAAAGAAAAACCGGACACTACTATCTTATTTTAATATCTTTCTACTCGTTATAGATTTACAAAGATTAGTTTTTGGGTTTGGCATTTAAAAAAATCGAACTTTATCTCAAGAAACAAAATTTCATATTACTGACATGCAGAGTAACCAGAACGCCATCAAAATAACTGTTTTGGAAAATCAGATCAATGGCAAAAGGAACTAATTTATACAACAGAAATATATGTCGGAACGTACCTGACAAGATGCTATTTTACGATTATTTTAGTTTCCCGACCACGTGATTTCGTCCTAGGTCTACCTAAATAAATTTTCTTTTCCAATATTGGTTTATACTTAAAATAAAGAAAGTTGATTTTGCAATTGAATATTTAGGCCCATTATTGTAGACCTAGAATACACTAAAATGGATTCGATGCATGGCAAGTAAATAGTAAACACCTGTCTTTCCACTGTTGATGTATTGCTCTTTGTGCACATAAATCGCCATAGCCGCAATGCCCATCAAATTTACACTGAATACGCTAAAATATGACAGATATTATTTCAACACGATATACAATTTTTTACCCTGCAAATAGATTTTATTTGACTGGACTAGATGGCGCCACCCTCGCACCTGTTAACGAGTTAACTGCTTCTGATCGTTCCATAGATTGCCCTGACTCTGACATTTAGACCAATAAATTACTATGTATCTAATTTTCAGAAAAACCTCACCATTCGCATATCATTGCGCAATGATTGTGTTTTTGAAGGTGACAATCCTCACTGTTCAATGACATTGTACCATACAGAGCTAATTAGTTATGTAACTGAGGAAGATCCTAATAAAACGAAAAATAGCTAGGAACACTAAGAAAAAAAAATCTTAAAGAAGCCACGTTGATTTTTACTGAGATTAGCACCGGAGACAGAAGCCAACAAGGTTAGGATTTTTTGCGTACGAAAACACCGTAGCTGCTCTTATTGTTGTGGATTAGTTCAAAACGAACTCCAGTGTGGAGCGGGCACAATGTGATCATCTATGAGTAATAAACAAACCTACACCCCAAGGGCTGCTTCAATCCAGAGGGTGTTTTGCCAACGAGGATTACGATACCGAGCTGGGCATCGATGACGATATGAACCCCAACCATAATCTAGATATAAATGATGAGCCATGCACTAATGGCAAACTATACATAACCAACGGGTCTGACGTTCTGGAAGAATCGCACGTTGATGGTGATCACACGAAATGGGTTAGACATCGCTAACGAGCCGGACATTTCTGCCATTGATGAGCAGAGTTAAGACTTCCTGCAGTCTAATTTGAAATAGCTACTATTGGCCCAATCGAAAGGTTCTGCTCTTTTAGCTTTATCGTGAAAAACTACTGTACAGGAACATAGAGCTTATGACTCAGTGTCGAAGAACAAATAACTAATAGCAGCCGTTACGAAAGTTAAGTTTGAATTTTACTTTATTTCGTTACAAAGCTCAAACCATTGTACGATAGTAGACAATAAATAACAATCACATTTATAATCATGGGAACCTTATTTTCTAATTTATCACATTGCTGTTCATGTTGGCCTATAGGAAAGTGATCAAATCATGGCGGACTGCATTATGCTAGCAACTGCGTAATACAATATGTTCCATGATTTCAAGTAAAGTTAAGATGTTCTAATTTAGCTTCGCGGATCTATTTATGAGCGGCATAGTCTATTTACCGATATGTTAGTTAGAATATACACGACTATGTACGTACTCGCTGTTTTCTGCATCGTACATGATGAAATTTTAAACACAAAAAATGGCTTAGGTGTCTTGTAAAAGAGAAATAGAATCACACTTCGCTAATAGATTGAGTATAGTATATTGTTCTTAGTATTTTACTTTGATATATATATTTCATCGAAACAAAGGTGTTTAGCTGTTGTTGCGGCCCGACCATCTCCGAACATACTCCGTCGATGTGGTGTAGCGTACATTTGAATCATTCTGTGATTTACTTTATTCTGTCACTATTATTACTCAGCAAAGTATCGTTCATCCTTTGCTGATAACCTAACAGTGGAAAGCCTTTGTTCGAATTTTGTCAATTTTAAAGATATGTACCTAGAAGCACAAGTGCTTTTTCTCACATTCCTCTCCCACACATTCTCGGTATGCAATATAAATCGAATTGTTTTCAATAATACTTATACAGGGAAACCCTTAAAAAGTGCCATGTAGATCAGCGCGACATCGCCTGAGGTTGATGCCACTCTTTAGTAGCAACGACAACCTCAATAATAATAATGACAACAACAACAACAAGCCATATTCTTTATTATCATAAATTGGGGCTGCTAACTGTGGAGACAAAAGTTTGCCCATAAACCCAATTATTAAGTCGTTCAGCCCACCATTTCGAATTAAAGGACGTTTTCACAGCTGAATATGCCAATAAAACGTATAGAAATTCTTCATTTACATTTAGCCTAATTCACTAATTCGGTTAATTGTCGACTATTTAGTTTTTGTATAGTATTATTTGTATAGTTGTTTGGACCTAGTCAACAAGAGGAACTTCATCTTCGTTTTGCCGACAGCATCTGAACCGTTCGCGATACAGCGGAGGGTTGAGCCCGCCCTTGATTGCCTTGTTGTATATCTGAAGCACGATGCAACTTGCGATCGCCACTATGAGGGTAAAGTAATAAAAATGGGAAAAGTTAACGCCAGCGCACTGAAGGTTATTTCTCACTGTTATTCACGTAAATTAAGAAGTCTGTCATATGAGAAAGGTAACGAGTAAATACGAGGTTACTCTGTCATCGCAAGTCGATAGACGTGTAAGGAGTATCTGAGCCGTTCACGGAATGACACCTAGCAGAAACTAAGGAACCATTATAGTCGAAGGGAAGGGCTATACTCACAGGATAGCCATCCCAGAAAGAAAAATTCCACCCAATCGTAGCCACCGTGATCCTTGATGACTCCGACTAACTGGGTGACAACGGCTAATCCGACATTCTGGATAGCCTGCATTACGCCATACGCCGTGCCTAGCTGGTGTTCAGGAATAACTATTGCGACCATGGGCCAGAAGGCGCACGCGAAAAACGAAAACATAAAACCTAACGTAGTCTAATGGACACAAATAAGATAGAACACACGAAAATAAAACGAATAAGTGGAAAAAATGAAAAATTAAACATAGCTTACAGGTTAATTTGCCTGGTCGTACTTATACAAATGCAATTTAAAACGGTTGAAATCCGTGTTTGTATTCGTGCCACCTTACGGTCACCGTGACCGTGGCACTTACTTTGTCATTAGTACGAACTGCCGACAACAGGTAAATTTCCATAGATATATGAGACTAAATATCAAACTATTTAACCAAGTAGCAAAATTTATGCAGATGAACATGAAAGCCTTACTACTATCACAATTTACTAGAAGTTTGATTAAATTAATTCATCTACTCTGCCAACGTTAGGACGTCTCTTTGTCGTGGCTCAGTGCAACGTATAGACTTCGCTTGCTAGCAAGTTACTACCAACCATGACGAAGTACGGAAGAAGAGGACTGATATCCATCGGTGCGAAGCTAAATACCAGATGACACGCGAAGCTCAACACGGTGGCAATAAGCGTCCAGAAGAGATTTAATCCAAACACATCACAGATCAAACCGCATAAAGGCGATATAATAGCGCTCACCAAATATGGAAAACTCGTGATTTCGTTAGCTTTCGCCTCCGAGAACTTGTACTTGGTTTGAAGGTAGCAACTATAAACAAACGATATAGGAAAAAAAGTCGGTTACTATAAGCCATTTACACAGCCGAAAATGCATATACTGAGTTTTATAAAGTAAATGCACAAGCTTTAAATTAAAAACAAAAAAAAATGTGATCGACGTTTTTGTTAGCTGTTTTAATTTCTATTTTGTTAGGTATCTACAGCATACGAAAAAGCTTCGTGCTAACATAATTTAGCGACTCACCTGCCGAAGCTGATGAAAGGAAATATAGAAACATAGTAAGTAACACAGACAAGACAAAGTAACCAAAATTGGACTGGAAAGTAGAGTACGTCCTTAATATTCACTGTTTCACCAGTGCCGTGAGCTGCTCGGTTGAGAATCCGCTCCGCGCGTTTGTCGAATGCAGCCAGGATGATTGCGCATATTAATGAGAATATACAAAGAACGCCGGCTGTAGAAAAATATGACGAAAGTAGAAGAGGCATATGAGTGGCTACAAGTGTATATTTGCATTTTAGAAATGCAGGTATTAATACAAAGCAACATTTGGCCCTCCATGCAGCTATACCAGCCTCACAAACCGATTAACATGGCAGGAAAGGACTCCTTTGGGAAGCACGAAAGTCATTCGGGCTTGCGTGGATAACCTACGGCACACTCTATAGAAATTTAGCCCAATTAACATATTTCCCATAGCACCCTTTGCGTATAGTTGGTTTTTCTTTTTTGTTTTTTATTAAACTACGACCTAACAGCACTAATATTCGTACTTATTTACGTTTTCGCTATTTATAAACACAGATCAACTTACGTCAGGTGGCAAAGACGTATTTTCAAATAAATAAACGTTTTGATAATGTTGTTTACTAAATAGTTGAATTTAAACAATTTAAGAAAGTATTCCTTAGTACCTGCCAAGGCCAGTTAAGTAGCTTAATAACCCGCGTACAAGCAGCCCATTCAATAACTCTAACGCGCACTATGGCATCTCAATGTAATTAAACTAACACTAAATAATTAAAAAGGAATGGTCTTACCTAACATGAGAGTGACACCAAGGGCCTCATGGCCCTTGAAGTGTTTCATGACTTCGTTATAGACAGGCACCATTGCGTTGAAATTTACTAAACTACCTGCCCTAGCAATCGATAGCAACAGGCCGAACACTGTGTTTAGTTCTTTGTCACGAAACCATAGTACTGCGTACGTATTCTGGGCGACTGTTAACGATTCTCCTCCGATACTGTAAGCCAGATAAACATTTTATTATATTTATTATTATGTTTAGATAAACATATTAACAAAGCAGAGGTAACTTACAATGCATTAACAACTTACTCATGGCTCGTATTGGTATTAGGGTCTCATTACTTAAAACTGACCCCATTATTCTACTCCGATTTTTTAAAGGCGCATAGCAAAAAATTGAAAGCCATCTTAATTAACAGCGATAAGTTAAGAGGCTTGACATACATCAAAACCTGAACATCATCAAAAAACATTTATTATCATTTGTTAAGTCTACTACCGTTTTGTATGCACATCATAAAAAAAAATGTTACGAACCCAAAAATGAATCGTCCGAATACCATCACCCAGAAATGATTAATCAGAGCTCCCCCGGCGAATATGATCTGCCCTAAACAGGTAAACCCTGCGAAGACGATTGTTCCCATACGAATGCCAAATACCGAATCGATAAAGAAGCCACCGAAAAAGCAGAGGATGACGTTCGGATAGGAATACCATGAGTAGAGATTAGCATAATCAGCATCGGTGACGTTCATATCTTCCATAATATGCTTTTGCAAGGCCGCCGGGTTGTCATAACAGAAGTAGGAGCCTGGAAAAGGATTACAGCACAAATTTTGTTCTTTACAGACATCAAAGTTTTAGTGTGCAATATTTAAGATTTAATCTAACAAAGGACAAGGCTAACACTCACAATACGGTTCTGAGTTGTGTAAAATAAGTTCTACGTTGCCTCCAGTCACTTAAGACACTAATAATAATGCAAGTTTGACAGGTCACTTTCGATCTAAAACAGGCTATCGACAACAGGCAGAACGACGGAGCAAACGGCAGTGTAATGTCACCCTTGGCACTCGCGTCATTTGCAAGTGCAAATTATAAAGCACCTGTTAAGTCTACCTACTAAAAATCGGAGACGTAAAAAATCTAAAGTGTTCTGCAAAACAATTTCCAATGAAAGCGTTTGGTCTTCTAATTTAGCCCGATTGGGGCATTATCCACGGCTATAGAAGAAATAGATTGCAAGAAAATGGATTATACGATTATTATTATATGCAAAATGGCTGTCTACCAGACTATTAACACATCAGGGCCGTGCGCAAAACGTATACAGGAAATATGTGGATCTTTAACCTGTTATGCTAGAAGCTCAAGCGTTATTGCATGCTGTAGGCGTTATTATTATTTGTTTCAAGCATATGCATAAGTTCGTTCCTTTTTACGCTCTTTACTTCGTAAATGATTATCACTATTAACGCTATTTTTGCGATAATAGTGTATACTGAATGGTACAAATAAAAGGTTTACCCATGATAAGGAAGTGACAACCCAGACGGATATCCACAGGTATGTAGAATGCTGGGACAAATATATCCACAGCTGACGAATCGGTCGTAAAGAGTGTGGTATTGCCTTTCCGCGCAGAACCCCATTACTGCGTTGGCGTGTGCCTACCAAAGTGGAACAAATTCAATCTACACGGACGGAAAACACACACGTTCTCGCACAACGTCTAAGGTATAAATAGGGCCTAGCAGATAATGCGGCGGCCGCCTAACATTAAAGATTAACAATCTTATGATTAATTTCAGCTGAAATTTCGTCCAATCGTCGCTGTCCTGCGGGTCGATCAACTTAATCAATGGAACTGATTTTAAAACAATAATTTTTAATGCTCATAATGACTGCTGGTAGATTTAAAGAGATCTTTTCCGCAGTGTTGCGTTCGTTATAATGTCATAATAGGGAGAACATGACAAGTAAGTCACCTTCAGGGCAAAAAAACAATGTATTTTTAGCGTCTAGATGTTGCTCTATGTGTCACCGTATTTCAAGTGTCACACCAAATTAACTAAAGCGAAACATGTCAAAAAGAATAAAGATAATTTATTGCAAAAATTACTGTAATCGTGAAAAGTATTAACTTGTATGTATCACGTACACAAATGTTTTTAATAAGTCATTCCAATAATCTGGCGAACGATGCCCCATGCAGTCAACGCACTAAGCATTCGAAATTAAACAACTTGAAATCATTTAATTCACATAAGTTCAACCAAACTTTATTATAGCCTAGTGAAACGTTAATCGAGATGTTTATAATAATAATAATTCGTTAGTACTCCGATTTTATAAGATTTTTACCTAATTTCGGATGAATGCTTCGTATTGTATCTTACAGATTCCTTCATAATTAAAAGCAAGCCTTCGCTGATACACTTGGAGAAGACTGCGGCATTGAAAGCACAAAACGCATTTCCGAAGAGAGCTTCTAAGAGATTCCCCTTAAGCATGCTTCCATCGATAGACAGACAAGCCTTACTTGAATTAGCTAAAGAAAAAAACGGTAAACTGCGCCTGTCTTCGCATTAACCATATATGACATGACCGTATGTTGATATCACTGCTAATAATTCCTATGAGAAATAATGAAACGTAGAAGTGAACTAACGCCAGGGACTGTGATAGACGTACCAAAGGGTAGTAGACACATAAAGATGAAAATGAAGTACCGATGAAGTCGGGTGCTTGGATTGCACAAATCACAGCCATTATAATGATGCCTGAACTCCTGCGATTCGGAATATTCCGAATTCAGCAACGCATTATGGTTCTCCGGTTGGGCCATTATCTGCTGAAATCATAAGTGTCACAAGGTAATAAGAAACGTAAGGCAAAGGAAAAAATACCTCAAGTGAATGATGTAACTATAGCGTGTTACGTATTATTATAGTGATTAAAATAACGTACTTTCTGATCCGTAACTATGGTTTAGAGTTGCTCGTTAGAACTGTATATGATACATATGTAGATTAACGCATGCGAATCTAAAACGTGCATACGCGGCTTATGCATGTGATAAAAATGAATTCAAGAAACTATTAATATCATGCAAAGTCTCTGCAAACCAGCTGAGAACAAGCACTGCCAACAATTAGTTGTACGTGGAAATTGAGTTGTGCGGTACAATAACTGCCTACTAAGTCAACCGGGCTCATAGTTATTTCTATTTGAACCCCAACACATCTCAAACGTTGCTCATTCTTATCAAAAACCATCTTGTATTTCTCAGGTTGTCAATTTCTTAGTGCGTAGACATTCAAATAATCCTTCAATATACGTCTATTAAAGGAAAAAGAGGAAGCAAAGTAACTAAGGAAAACAAGATATCTCTATTCGACTATTTTCATGCTTCAAAAATATGGCTCAGGTGAATTAATTGAGATTTGTTATGGCATGGCTATTGGTTCTCTTGTATTTGATTTAATTATTAAGTAAAAGATCTATGATCTGGAGTGGTAGTGAATAGTTGCCATCAGTTTAGCAACCTTTTAGGTATAATTGGATCATGCAAGATAAATCTTATAAAACTTGTGAATGCAAGGTGATTTCTACAAGTTCGTCTGCGTTCAGTGGTCAATATATATAACACGAGGTATCTCGAAGCTCAGTTGGTATCAATATGTATAGTGCTGAATGAATCGTAACTTGATTATTCTGCGAACGATACCATTATAATAATAAATGATGTAACCGACCGGCTAATATTCTGAGTCGATAATCTGGTGTTATCTCTGCACACACCCCTTCTTTGTCGTTCATAAGCGCGTAAGCTACGCGGACAATTGCATAATGAAGTGTAGCGGCTGAGTCTGACGACGTAACAGTGAACGGGCGTAAAACGCATCAGCCTACCTGTTCTAATTCGATTCAGTCTGCACACATAGCCATTTTCATTAGGTAAAACATTGTGAACTCTCGATTTGTACAATGATATTATGAACGAGGACGAACTCGTTCAGCCGTTACTAAATGCTTCCTCAACGCTACATAGACTCTCAACACAATTAAAGGCAGACAAACGCCCACAATCACACACATACGCATAAGCATAGATTCTGTGGAACAACTATCTGACTCAACGGGTTGACTCATTGTGCCTTGATGTAAAGCAAAGCACTTGCAATACTTAATGTTCTCCTGCTATGCACCCTTTCGATGCTTCGAGACTCCGACCCGGTTCAAGATTATATTGAGATCATGGAAAGAGTACCGCCATAGCAGATCGAATCGCCACCAGTTACTTAACGCTCCGAACGTGTACTACTAAATGACACTTTATTGCCTGCGTTGCAGTGGTACATTATATTCAGTCGTTTCTACTCAATCGAACTATGATAGAAAACACCTATGCGCTCCTTACGTAGTAACAGTATAGAGAACACTGTGCTCTCTCGCTTATACGTTCACTGGTATGATGCTTCAATGTGCTTAATTAAAGCTTTGTTTTTTTTTTCAATATTTTGTACTTACATTAAAGTTTGGCGCTTTGCTAGGTTCTATATGAGGCCGACTTAGAAATATTTTTAGGATATCCACTGGCGGCTAAAACACAAACTTTGTTTTTGATACAATACTATATCGCTCACCTATCTCACTCGGTAGTAGGCTCACCAACATAGTCATTTGTACAGGTAACGAGCAAAATGCTTTTCAATAACTCACCCAGTGCTTAAAAGTGCTTTGTCAGTCTCTAATACCATTTTCCAGGAATATATCTCATCGTCATCATCATATTGCACTTGATAAGCGGTTTATGATAATACCGCTAATTTAATTATAATCTACTCCCGATACTTTTGAGAGAAACAGTGAATATTAATTGTAACCTAATTAATTAATCATTGTCAGCTAAATAGGCCTGTATATCATGCCATAACAATTGAACTAATTAAACACAAACCTATTTTTTTTCAATTGTAGTTCTAAAAGCGAGATTCGATTATAGTTCATCTAAAGAACCGGAGTGCTAATATGGACTATGTTTGGGTAAATCAACGTTTACGACAGTCCATATATTTAGCACGTTATTTTTGCAACAAAAAAACTTCTAATAATATTTTGTAGGGAACATATATATGATTCACAAACGAAGCTTTATAAAGACAAGAAAAAGATAACATAATTTGTTGATTAGTCACGACATTTCACTAATTTTCGAGCTAGGTTACAAGCGGTCTATAGGTCTCAATCACAAAAAAGGGGTTTGTCAAAAAAAAAAGCAATTTTTTAAAAGTAATCAGTGATTGAACAAAGGTTCTTGTTAAAAATATATGTTTTATTATAATAATAATAATAATAGTCTTATCGATAGTTTTATCGCTTGCCTAACCAATATAAAAAAGTAAAACAAATTGAAAATATTTGATAATAATAGTAATAATAATAACAATAATTTATTTTCTCTTAACCAAAGAGCGCGTCTTTAAATGAATTGCGGAATAACTTGCCGCAATAATAATAAAAAAATATGATATGTATATGTTTTTTCCGTTCTTGTTCTTTTCTAAAATTTTCATTACTAATGCTTAAGGCTAATACACCGTTGGGAAGCGCTTTATACTTCCCGATGCGTTGTTGAGATCTGGGATCAAATCTGGGTTTGAAACGAAGTGATGTGCCCCACTTTACAGTGCGATAATTCATACTGTTAGTTATCTTCTGTGCTCATGCAGATTTTTTCCCCAATAAATTCGGCTGTTTTTTTAACAACGACTATTAGTTCTGGTTTAATCATGTTTTTTAGCCTTCCAGTCCGTTTTAATTTGCTATCATATACGGTCACATTCCTTATTCTCGAACATGCTTTGTGTTTCTGAAGCATCTAGACTTTTTTTTGTAATTTTCTTGTAATATTTTTGAAGTATCGGAACAGACCTTTTACTATCTGCCCTTGACCCAAAATGTTAATTGGGCAAAGTGATGGTAAAATGCTTGCAGAACAAAAAAGGGGTTTTGCATTTAACCATCACCAAATAAAAAAAATTAAAAAAAGATACATAAACGAAAACGGCAAGCTCTGATAATTATATATTTTGCTAAATGGCGATGAAAAATCGTGGGAGGGACGTTTATCTCTGGTACACTGAATAATGATTGCACTAACCTCTTATTAGAATATAACTTTGATATACTAAATTAAATGATAGTAGCTTTGAATATAATGATAACAACCTACGTAGAGCTCAAAGTGATATTCTTTAAGCCGAACCTCTAAAAAGTTACGTTATTACATAATTTTAACTGCGTCTCGTTAAATTGCCCGTTAAATGACTGAGCGAAGTTCCTTCCAATATGGATTTCAGTCATATGATTAATGCATCCACAAAAAGCAAAAAGATCGCACTTATATAGCTAATAAATTGGCTGAGTGGTACTAAGTAAATTAAGCTATCGCTAAAATTATTAATCTCATATAAAGATAATATGTGCTAGGCACAAAACCTGGTGTCCAACAAAGAGGTTTTTAGTTTTAGTTATGTTGTTTCCAAGCCCAAACGTCACCGCGCAATAATCTCTGGTAGCCATTCTTTCGGGAAAGGGCGGCCAACACATTTTAGCTAACAGTCATTTCGAGCATTTTGATCTATCGATCCTAAAATTAGGTAGCACAAAGGCTATAATATGCTTGACGATGCATAACTCTTGATAATACTTATTTAAGGTGACGAATCACAAATAAAACCCAATTAATTTATAGAGTAGTACTCACCTAATGCTCGAGGCACCCTCATTTATTACTTATATGTTTATACCAAAAAGCACTTTTTAACATACGAAACGTATACTACTGGCAATGTCAAATGATTTTTGCACAACTCAGTTTACATAAACCTAATACACGCTTTAGACAGTAAAGTTGCTCTTTTAATATACCTAGGGGTTCATACAAGGCGTCTTCTTTTGAACTTAGATTTGAAATATAGGTATAACTTCGTGACGCTTACTATGTGAGAACATGGTTTTATTGTAACCTATATAGATTAAACGTGAATATGGATTATACCCGTTTGATATAAGCTTAAAAACTTCGCTACTTTACACGATTCGCGTCGTCTGGGTCTTATATGCAATATGGAACGTCCTGACAGGCTTTCAGACAGAGTTGTTTAAAAAAATCCAATTGTTTGTTAATGTTTTTGATATGTTATATTTTCAATGAAATAGGAGGATCCACTTTCACGTAATTTCTAATGCCGACTGAATCTTTTTCACGTTCAATTCTGACACAGCTTTTCGAAGATTACTTCGTAACACCGTCGCAATATAATAAGATATAGCAATTAATCTCTTACAGTAAACGTTCGCTATGAATAATACAGATCTCAGTATTGTTATGACACTTACATAATGAAAATCGTTTTCGAAAAAAGCCGCGTCTAGAAGTGTAGCATTTTTTCTCTATTGTTGATCACTGCAATGAAGACGAAATGCATATTGTAATTGTACTTTAGAGCTTTTGTTACTTGCTTAGAATTTGATATATTCTCTATTAATTTTTAGAATCCTAGATGCTACAAACTACTAATCATTTTTGAACTAATGAATTAAGTAAACTTCGTCAATTTTATTGCTAGAATGATAAACAAGTATCAGAGTAGCAAATGACAATTGGTTCTTAACACAGGACTGTGTTTACTAAATTTCTAGATGACTATAGAAATATCGACAATGCGTGAATAACGTGATCACTGCATTTCTACTTGGCTAGGCTGCTCTCGAAAAAGGTTGTTTATCCACAACATCTCTACGCAAAACTGCTATCGAAACCATTAAAAATCTAATATATTATATGCAACTATTAAGAGAAAACATTAGAGACATCTAATGCGACATTACGCTATAAAATTATGAAAAGTCTAAACTTTGAAAAACATTATTTCCTGTTGGCTATGAAACCTGTAATATACTGACTTCAGTTCCTATTACTATGTGAATTTCTATTCAGTGCAGTCAAACACGCCTCCTTACTACAAAGTTGAATATAAAGCTAAATTGGTACGCATTTTATTTTAAATAAGTTAATTATGTAGCAAAAAAAATCTTCACTGAGGGCAAATGCACATTAAGGCCAGAATGCACAACCATCAACATCGCTAAGCATCAAGTGTGGCCGCTGATGTTGTGGTCAACAATCGAATTTCTACAGTTTAAGGAATGGGCATTACCGAAAAGAAAATATTTTTTAATTTCGTTTGCATTTTCGTAGGACTACTCACCTGATCCCGTTTGTCAAAAATAATCGCGCCTGCCCTCAAAGAAACCTGCGTCCCTTTCATAGGTGGAAAGAAGGCCGTCTGTTGATGTGTCGAGCGAGACACATTCACTCGAGAGTGAAGCGTGCTATTGCTATCAACTAGCAGACGACGATGGCGCAGCAAACTTGTGACGTGTGCGTGGAGTCGCAAGCAAAATATAAGTGTGTGTGCAGTTTGAGGTACTGTTCTGTAAATTGTTATAAAACACATAATAGTATCGTGCGTGGGAGATGCTGTAAACCGAAAGAACATCGAGTAACACGAGACGAGTCGAGGTATGATATTTCTTCCATCTTATTTCTATCTGGAAGCGATTCGATTTGCGTCACGTGCATTCATTCATCAGATGAGTTCGAGCTTTCCGAACGCTTGATGGTCTAAAAGCGCTAAGCTCAACGTTACTATCCATTGTAGGTCTCATGAAATACTGTCGGATTTTATAAACTCTTATTCTGTCGAACAAGAAAAGTATAACGATTCGGATAGTTGTGATGGCATAATCTCATCTAATAATTCATTTAATCTGTTTAAATATTTTCCTCGCATTTTGCTTTGTATTTGCAAGTTCACAGATATCCGACGCTTCTCGATATAGTCGGAAAGCAAACAAGTATTATACGTTATGAATAGCGATTTTTTGAGTAAGCTGCTGTTCTCACTTCTTTTGTGTTGTCACTTAAATTCTATTTTATTGATGCATTGTTATACTCGCAAGAATATACGCAGTCAGTCACTTTCGTTTCGGCTCGGAAACTCCCAGAACATTCTGAGAATTACGACGCTTCGCCCGACGACTTGGTCGATCTTTTGACGTACTGCTTCATAATCTAAAATAATAACTGAATACGTTTAAAAATATAAATGACACTATCTGAATGTGTGTCTTTATGTCTCATCTCGCATATATTTGCGTTAAGTTAAATTACTGCTATATCAAAAAAACTAATCAAAAAAGCACTTGAATTAGATATTACAAAACGGTATTTTTAAATATCTTTATTTTTATATAACGGTTCTCCTTTCATATGTCAAATATTATTGAATATATTTACATTTTCCAATTCATACAATTCTGTATAAGACGTGTATACCCATCATGTTAGAGGATTTAGTTCATCTCAGTAATGGCACGTTGTCGTCTTCAAATTTTAGGCAATTGATACCGTCGGACTCGCCGAAGCGAGACTTTCCCCGAGAAGATACGGTAACTAATAGCATATTTTATTGTCGAAAGCCAGAAGCTTTTTTGTCCATATCTTTTGCACTTGGACAAATGCTCCAACAAAAGCGTGTGACTCTTCACCACTATTCGAAAAAAAATGTCCTATTAGACTCGTTAACGTTCCAACATAGGAGTAGACGCCAAAGTGAAATCTCTTGAAACCACAGTGAAAAAACAAAAAAATACAATAATTTGCGCTCTAAGACCCAATGTTGCCCTGTTTTTTTTTTTCGGGATTAGCCTTATCATCGTTTTTGCTTCATCGCGTTGTTGGAAAAACACTTTAGTCAGAAATAAAAAAAAAGTAATGCTTTTTATAGGGTGTAGTAATAACCGAATCATAATAACGTTCGTATAATCATTACTTCAAGTATGTACATAAAATTCTGTTTTATTTATAGTTCATACAAAAAAAAAATCGTCCCAGACACATCGTTTGTAAAAGATATACACAAACTATCCAGGTGTTATAATAGCCGCATTTATAGTATATTTTGTTTGCAACCAATTCTAGGTTCCACCTCGTCTTCTCGAGTATCTGCAAGGTTCTCGGGAACTTCGTACGACCTTGCAAAATCCACATTTACGCGATCTGTTAACCAAATTAGCATCTCAGTCAGATCCCGCAAGAATGCTGGATCAACTGATGCAGGCAAGTGGATAAGTCAACACTGTATTAAACGATACCCATCATTTATTGAAAAAAACACATCTGTACTACCTAAATACCTAAAAGAAATATCTAATAAGTTGTACCTACCACTAATTATCGACGCCAAGCAAAATAATTGTGTAAAAGAGAATAAATATCTTTAAAAAGTCGGAATTAAGTAAACCAGCTCTGCCAGACACAATGAGTATAGTAATGATAACAGTTTTATAAGTAAAGTTTACTTCCACTTTTTTTTCATCAATCTTACGGTCGTTTTTCAATCAAGGTAATTGTTTTCATACCCATTTTTCGTTGCAATTGCAGGAACCTCTTTTCATCGAGTTTGCCGATGTTTGCATGAATGTCATTGAGCCGCCCGAGGAATAGGAGCTTCACTTTAATACCCTTCGTTCATATTCAGTTCGTAAACTTTTGTAATATTACATTTGCAATGAACATTCACCCAAACTCAAGTAATATGTTGCAAATTATTTGAAGTCCTTATGATAATTATCAACTGATATTGTTGAGTGTTTTCTGTTGAATATGAAATGAATTACAAATAAATACATTTGTTAACATATATGATAATAAATGTTTCAAGCTCTTTTTTTATTGACATCGTTATTATAGAAAACGGATGACCGGAATTGAACAGATTCCGTGTGCTTTATCGGAATTCCAAATATTTACTCCAATATAATACTATGCCAGAAAGCATGATTTATCGTACTAAGCGATGATGTAAATTATACTACCGTCAACTATAAATTATTAGGTGCAACCGTTTCTAGCGACACTTTTATTTGCTAAATGTACCTGTAGCGCTGAAGATAATATTCTGCTAAGATTTTGCTCCGTTGTAATCATGAAGCCAAGTATTCTGGCATCGAAGGAGCCAACGATTGAAATGCTGATTCGCAACCATATGGATTCTTTCGCCGATAAGCCAGCTCTGGGCCCTTGCTAAAAATCGGTCTATCGTGAGCCCTGGTCTCGGAAAACATAGGCATCTTAGTGCTGAGAAATGATAACCGCCTTGAAAATCCGCGATTGTTGCTTTACTCTATCAACACGATGGGGATACATCTTCAACCTATACAAAAACAACATACGATACACCATTTCTACGATCCCGTCATAGGAAAATCACTGAAGTTAAAAAGAAATATCGGATGTTTTTGTTGACACATTTGATTAATGACGAAAACAGCTAGACATTGTTCTGCTCGTTAGCGGTTGCACAGTAAGCGCCAATCGGAAAATAAGGGAAACGATGATAGGAGCTGCCATATCAACACCGTTTATAAGAAAAACGAAAAAAATACCCAGATGAGAAAGATACGCTTTATTTTGCAATATATAGCAGCGTAACAACTCTGCATTTTTAAGATCCACTATATCTATATATGGCAAAATACCTGTTTTAGTAACTACAAGGGTCTTTTAATAGGTACAAGTATACAGCGAATTATAAATTGCAGTCATATAATTAGCATTTAATACTTATACAAGTAGTATGCATTTCATTTGTAAAATTTTACTTCTTATTTCTATATGTTATGGCCGAGAAATCGTCGATCCATTTAATGCTACGTTGATATTGTAAAAGGCTTAGACTTAGCAAGCGTTTAATTGGGGCACTACATCTTTGATTGGCCTATTGAACTGGTAAGTATTATTATCATTATTACGTAAATATAAATATTCTTCCAATGTTTCTAAGTTCTTGCTTTGTTACTTAAAAACGTTCTAATTGATCGGTTGAGTATCACTGCGTACAATTTAATCGCAAAAATCCTCAATTATTAACCGTTAACTCATGTAAGTATAAAACATCTAACCAAAATGTTTGTTTGAAAGTATCTCATGCCCAGGTAAAAAATGTTTACAGCTATTTTGATAATTTCATCTGATTTTCAAGGAGTGGTCAGTCTTTAAAATCATCTTTACTGCACAAGTGACCACTTTTATTTGCGGAACAAAGGCACATGTTACCTTCAGATTATGGAAGATACAGCGTTCTAAACTACCGCGCAATTTGTACTACTACAATAAATCTAACGCAAGAGCTATGAAAGGTTGGTGCACCCAATACTGGAAATGATACAGCCTACATCGCGGCAACAAGTTAAAGGAGTAAAACTAAATGACTATATACGGCTTGAAAATCTAGTAGCTAACCGAGAGAAGCGATTAAGTTCAAACTTAGTTTAGTAATACATGCTGTCTTGAATGTTTGTCGATTAATTTGTATTTCGCTGCATTCGTAGTAACCTGCAACAACGTTCCGTAAGCCCCGGTGTCCTTAGCACGAACATTGTCGTTACGGTCGTTGCAGTGTTTGCTACCCTGCGCTTGTGCATTTTTACTTCGAACTTTATCTGTCGCTCATCATAGATATATTTACAAATAGAATATGGTGACCAGTACCAAGAGGACCGGAATAATCTATATCTATATATAGAATTGGCTTTGAAATGATATGTAGGGTCAGGAAAAATAGATCGCAGCACTAATGTTTACGGTATATAGGTTGATTTGATTTGCAGAATGTTTCATGGTGGCTTAAGTGGAATGGTCGTAGCACGATATCAACAAGCATAAGATATCCCTGGTTGATTATATTTTTTGGCTCAACAGTCCAAGCCATACCATGTTGTCCTCCTTCTTGCTCACTCTTTCCTTCTTTCTTTTTCTCTTAAAAATGTATTATGTATATAGTTTAACACATATAACATACCACTCCGTTTGATCTCCAATATTCTTCTCTTAAACAAGCGAGAAGCCACCGCGCTGATATACGATGCTGAAAAACGTTTTTGAAAATTGCGGAAAGTGAGCCACGTAGCAAACTAAAATTTGAGTGTGTACATACGTCTCGTGATTTCCCCACATGAGAACATTCTACATCGAAAGAAAAAACATATTTTAGAAACTCCTATGAACATCGGCAAACAGTAACTGGTAGTAGAGTTTCTGATGAAACTGTACCACCTGTATCATCAATTAAAGTACTGGTAAAAATTCCAAATTTTAAGAGAGAGCATCTAGCAAAACATCTTCGTAGGCCTTCGTCCGAAATGCACTTTACTTCATTATTCGTTGTGCATTATTCTCAGCCGTTCCTGCGAATTTCTGCGCAAATACGTCTGATTTTCTACTTAAGGATTTCCGAGTATAGTGTAAAGAAAGAAAGACGAATTTTTTTCCAAATATATGCTTTCCTTTTTGGTATAACGATAATATTAGTGGTCAACAACAAAAATAATCATACACGTAAGAAACGTAACATTACAGACTTGGAATCTTACCCTCATGTATAGGGACTATATTTCAACGAATGCTTCTGCATTCCGAGCTTATCTGGTTGACGTGGGCATGAATATCGGTTTTTTGCTCTCCTTACAATTTTCTCGGAATTAAATGCTAGGAAAGTTAACATCCATGGGTGCTTCTGTGTAACCACGGGTCAGAATCGCCCTGTAGATCTTTTCCTGTGAATTCGAAAGCATGAAAATGACGCAGAAAAAGCTATTAGAACGTATCACACACCAGTCACTAACCTGCATATGCAACACATATAGCTTCTAACAATTTTCGATTTTACACATGGTTTTTTTTATGTGCAGATTCGTGACGCTGAGGCGTCTGCTACGGTTGTGGCGAAAAAGTGCGGCTCTAATGAATGCCAATTTTATTGACCTGAAAATAAGAGCAAATGTTTTTTAAACTTTATTGTTGTTTGTAGAAACTAAATGTATTAAATGCAACTATAGGTTTTTTTGTGAATGAATTGCCAAAGTGTGCAAGGTCATTAGCGTATATTGCGTTAAAATGTTTGTAGGGATCGAAATATATTTTGAAGATTTCTTATGTTTTCAAGAAAATAAAAGTTCAAAGCTATGGTAATTGTAACGCTAAAGCAAAGAGGTAAAAAGCGTTACCAATGTTGTTATCCAGAAAGCAAGCATAACTCAAAAAAAGAGAAACAGAAATTTTCTCCGTAAAAACACTCCGTAGTTCTCGACTCGTAGGCAATATTTCACGACTTAATGAAATAGTTCAGTCGAATCTGACACTGAACACACTATGCAAATATCATGAAGCTCCTTACGCGTCTTTTAGAACGATTGATACTTCAAAGGTCCCATTTTTCCACAGGCTGTGTATCTCTATTAAAATTTATATAAGCGATTAAGATCCCATAAAATTTCACAAAGACTTCGTGCATTTAGAGATGCATTGTGTAGGTATCATCGACCTCAGAAATAAATTTATGAAAGATGTTTATCAAATTTTACAAGTCTGGCGGTGTAGCTTGACTTGTATGGTCGGTGGCAGTTTTTTCAAATACTTTAATACCTGTTGTAACCTGCCGGTTTTTTTAAACATTTTTTCGACGCGTTCTTCTCAATTGGATCATTGTTGATCATTCGGCCATTTAACTTGATCGCATAATGATCAAGCTGTTTTTGCCTTGTTATCCAATTAACTTTCAAGATTCTATATCAGTATGTTTGGTCATTGCCTGTTAAAGGAAAGGATGTTAAAGGGAAAATGTGTGTACAGGAAAAATATGTATATATATAACCAATACTGACAGCATTACAATGAAGTTGAAGCACTTTTTGTGCATTTTCCCCACATTGTATTCTTACGGTTTTAATCTAAATGTTTCGAATTTACGTCCGGCACCACCATTAGACATTCCGTCAGACGAAAGGGTGGCTCCCAGTATGAAACAACGTATGTCTATGCCTAGATTCGGACTTATACTACCAGGCATTACTAAAATTAGCAGGTAAATACGTTAGTCACTAAGTTGGCACGCGGGATCAAATCTAAAAGCTTTGTGAAGGCCGTTTTAATTTCATCATCATTTTTAGCTTACTCGATTATATCTGAGAACTTGACAAGCCAGTCGAATTCTTACGTATTATTATTGTTGTCAGAGAGATGAAAAGCTCTGGTGCTATGACATTTCACTCTGCAAAAGATTTGCTTCTAAATTTGTTGGAAATCAAGCGGTCGGTTATCTGCTTAATTTTTTTGGCTATTTTAACAATGTAGTTCTGTATTTGTTGTTTTAATTCCTCATTGATGAAACTCTCCTTTTACGTTCCAGAAAGTTTTTTAGAATCTTTTAGATAGGTATATGTAGGCTCAGTCAAACCTGTTGCTCAAATAGCAAAATGTTACAGCTCAATAAAAATGCACTCAACCTAACTACACAGATTGATAACGCCTATAAAACTAACTTAAGACTTTAAAGTAATATTGAAAATACTCCAAAAAATAATTAAATTTTATCATAACAAAATTTTCCATTATCACAGATTTTTTAAACCAACGTTACTGCCTATTGAATATCAATACATATCATCAATTTGGTTACCATTAAATAATTCGTGTTTTCCGTCAGTTAATGAATCCTGATTTACTTTTATTGATAGCCGACGTTGAAAGAACACTTGCCAAGCCGTGTGCTTCGCTAAACGCTGCGTTCGTCGACTTCAAGACAGCCTTCAGCTCGGCGCGTAGGAACAAGGCTATGCTCACGCGGACTAAGGTGGATATCG